ACGGATGAATTCAAGTTCTTTTCAATGTTTTAAAGGAGATGTCGTGACTGTCTGAATATAAACCAATATGTTACCGTCGTTTGGTTGTTTGTTTTTCTAGTTAGTTTCCTTCTCTTTATAGAAAAAGTATGTGTTTGGACATAAACCCAACGGATGAATTATAAAGTTCTTTTCAATGCAACTATGTGAGGATAAAGGAAAGACGCCGAGACAAGGCTTTCCGCACACTGGGCACGGGAGACTTTTAAGACGGACTGGCTATATATATGACTATATGATACTGGATACGTAAACCCTTTCAGTCTTAACTGAGTTATCTTTTGCTTCTTGAACTGGCGTCCCTTGTTGTAGAAATCCTGTGTCTTTATACTTAGTATTCTCATACCTCCATGGTATTCTGTATTACCGCATAACAGTGGTACATCACTTCAGCAAAGAATAATACATTTGTTCAAAGAAACAAACATATTTGTAACCGGAGCAATAACAGGGACTACAATAACAGAGAACTGTCTAAGTTATTACAAGGGAACTGTTCGGAGTTTCATCAGGTCTTGCACTATCATGTTCTTACAAGTTAGTTAGAGAGTGCAATCGTACCACTGCTCCCATATACATCGATTGTTCAGCATCTTCATGGTTTTTAAAATGTGTACATTCTCCTCGATTCGATTTGAACCGTCATTGGCGAGGTTTTCTAAATACATATAAAATAGGTCATTACAATATATACACTAAGATACCGTAAAACACAGGCAATGTATCATCGTAGTACAGACGTATGTAAGTCACCCCAGTAATCTCTAACTGGTGTAAGGTTTACTGTGGCTAGCAATGTATTATATAGCCTGCACGTAATGGCTCTGCTACTGATCTGGTTCCTTCCCATGTTTCCTTCTTTCTGTCGACGATGCTACTACTTAATACACATATGATATCAACATGCTTCTTCTACCATCATCAACAATATCGAAACACAATTTTACACAAAGGAGACTGGAGTCAGTTGTCATGATCAGCTCTGTGACCGGGAGGCTTGAGTCAGCTGTGACCACGGCTTCTGGCATATGTGATTGTCCCGGCTATAGCACTGCAACTGCCGGCTAGAGCTTGCGCACTAGCTAAGGCACATGGTATTGCAACTGTATGGAGAGAAGAGAGGCTGTCATTGGTCCGATAAGGTGTGAGGCTTGTTGCTAGTGTCAGGACAAAACAATAGACAGGACTTCACACATTGAAGGTATCTATACATGAAATACACTCCTACCATTATTGTATATGATACCTGACAAATCTCCCGTTTAAATGGCTACCCTCTATCCACAGCAAGTAAATCAACAGTAATATGCCTCTCACCGCGCCTCATAAAGATCTCGGCCAAAACATATCGTGGTGCGAACGTCACCGTGAGCAAATGGTAGCGGTTTGAAATGTATTTCTTCAAAACAAGGTGTACATTTCCTAAACAAGTCATCGAAACGTAGAAAACAGTTGAAGACAAGGCTGATATAGAATGTGCGTCAAAAGTACGTACACTTGACATGACAGCTGTGAACTGCATCAGTCCTTCCGCGCTTCATAAATTAACTTAGCCAAAACTGGCCGACGTTACCAAACATCTACACCCTGTAAAATTATGGATAAAAGTACGTATGAACTCACCTTTTTATGTCTGTATCCCTGGTTGAGAGAAGGCAAAGGGGCTACGTATCTCCACGCCCGCCGGCCTGGGCAACTGTAGGGAAACAGCGGTGATTAGCCTCGTGTCAACTGTCATTATAGAAAAGAAAAATATAGATAAGAAAAGATAAGAAAAAATATACTCAACTAAGCGAACATACGTCACAGGTCCTCCATTACAAAACTAAGAATCAGTTGTCACAAATTACGAATTGAATCAGGAAGACATTACCGCACTCCTCTAGAACAAAGAACCTATCAATTCTGTAGTTTAGGCCAAATAGAAGATGAAATACATTTCACCATAGATTGCCCATTGTATAGTAGAGATAGACTCATATTTTTTAGCCATGTATTAAGTATATTTCCCCACTTCAGATATTTGACTAGTAAAGAGAAATTTGTATTCCTTTTAACTTTCGATAAACCTACTCTAAGTAATCTCACAGCCGCATATATCCATACAATCACTACTACGCGAGATGAAGCCGAAAAGAATAGAAATTAGACATTTATTTACGCTCTTATATGTTCATTTGTATGTAATGTATATGTTTATGTTCATGTTCTGTACCCATGCGACCTGTACTTAGTTCTGTAGAACACAAATGTACAATAAAGGTCTTCATTATCATCGCGGGAATGTCTGCTAACAACTCGCCCCCTGGCCGTACTGGTTCGACTTTCCACAAACGAATCGAGACGGGATATGAAGTTCCAAAACCAAAGGCAAAGTCAACTTTTGGGGCCATAGTGAAGGACAGACTAACAAAAAGGCCAGGCAGGAGGATTAGGAAAAAAAAAAAGCCGAACAGGAAAGGGCAAATTTAGCGGAGAGAAAAAAATACTAGGGCACAAAAGAACGGGGCTAGACGGGGGCAATAAAAACACAAGAAAGCATGGGAAAGCGCATCAAAAAGGGAAAACCAGCTTTCAGAAACAATACAGCCACAGAAGGGCAGGAAATGACCAGTGAGGGGCGACCGTTACACCACAGGGGTAACTGGGACAAGATGGCACAGGAATGCAAAATGCGACACAAACAAAGGACCACCCGTAAAGTGACGCTTAGATAGGGATTCTCAGAAACTGAAACTCGGCTTTTCTAACCGGAGAAAAACGTTCTATCCGAAAAAGTTGGGGTACGGGAAAAGCAATAACGCCAAAAGCGCCACAAAATCAGCCGGACAAAGTGAACTATAAACTTAGCAAAGTTTGGAAAACAGGCCGAGAAAGCTAGCCGAAAATGCGGAACACGTGGGGACGCTTAGCAGATGGTCAAAGCTACGAACTATACGAAGTGTGTGGCAACTTTTAACGAAAATTCTAGCAATTACAGCAGCGTTCACAGGACAACAACTTGACGTACAATCCGGTATGGGAACCAGTGTAGAATTTAGGAGGAATCAGTGTAGTATTTCGGGGATCTCGGTTTAGTTCTTGGTCTAACTTTACTTACGTTACGGTTACGCGTCTATCTGATTTGCTAGTTAACCAAGTAAAACACAGAGCCGGGTCGATTTCGATTGTACGGGTTGCTGTATTGTGATCTGCTGTATATGGTCTAGTCTTAGAGTTACAGTGGTCTAGTTTCGGATCTAAGTTACAGGAGTGGAACCCACAAGGGATATGAACTACAGAGAGCTAATACAGAGTGTGTGTTACTAACCTGGGGTCCTGTGGTCGACTGAATCCTGACGCTGACTGCTCTCACCAGTCATTGGCTAAATGAGCATGTAAATGAGCGTCCTGCTTGTGGAAAGGACGCGTGAAGAGAGCAAATGGTTTTAACGAGCTCTGATTGGTCAATTCCAGAAAAGTTTGAGCGTGGCCCGTGCGATACAAACAAGGAGACCCCGTGTGGTACAAACCGGGAATTCCCCGTGCACGTAGTGCACTGGTCAACGTAAACCTAGCGGGCGAGGATCGGCTTTCGTCTCCGGCCAAGTCCGGCATAAATTTCCCTTTCTTAATGCAAATCTGTCGTTTTTGTTTTCTTTGTGTCTTTCTAAAGGGTTGTGATAACCTACTCTACTCGGGTGGTATTTTCGTGCGCGCTCGCTAGTACGTAACGTATATACACGGCTGCAATCTGGCACTGCGTTATTTCTACCGTAGCGGGTCTAAACAAGACGCAAGATTCCTATTTTGGGGTATAAAATGTTGTCACAGTGGTAATACACTATTTGAAACGGACCTATACGAAGTACCTTTCTTTGGCGACGCTAGGGAAAACAGCATCTCTCGATAAACAGAGATAAATACTTAGATCCTGAGGGGGTGCCTTAATTCTGACCTACCCCTAATTCCGTACTAGTTTGAAAAATCCTGGTTGCGGCGTTATGCATGGGAGCACGTGCCTAAAAATAACCACAAGAATGGACAAAGTTTTTGTGATGATGTCCGTAATCTCACAAAGTTTGTTTTAGTTCGTACACTCCGACAACAGACGAGTGAAAAATCTGTTTAAATTCGACGCTTGTTCGTTACCGTTACCTCAGAAGGGAGTTAGTCACGAAAAGGAACTTAGCCACGGAGGGAGTTTGGGCATTGGCCCGTCAATAATTAACTCGTTCCCCGGACAGTCTGCCTCGCCCAGCATGATCTCCTTCCCAGGATCGTCTGTGTGACGAACCCAGGCGCCAGAAGCCACCATGCGGCTGTATAATGTATTGCACAAAAGACTCACACACGCATATTCAATAGGGTTCTTTAATAGGACGCTGTGTAGGAGCATGTGGCGGTCTAAAGCCCCGCGGACACTTTTGTAATACTGGATGTTTCCCAGATCGGACAAGTGTAGGCCGTCAGGCGCAAAGTAGTTTGCAATTTGGGTTGCGTCTCCACAGACGTCTGTGGTCCCATACTGTGACCTTGGGGTAGTTCTGCACAAGTCCCTTCAGCGCCACCGTGAATTTCTGAAGGCGCTGAGGAAAGTCAGACATGTTAGGTGGAATATGGAGACACCAGATATCTGGGGAACCTTGGACGAGCGCCCGGTCTGCTTTCTGGTGGAGACCCACTGGGTGTACACGTAGCGTGTCTATTATATATGGCAATACCTATTATAAAGCTCATCTTAAGCTCAAAATAATCAAACATAAATCCATACGAATGTGAGTTACAGCTCAGGGTACACATTTCATCAGTCGTTGATGCATGCATCATATTAGCATCCTCAAAAACAAACAATACAACTTCCTACATACAATACGGTGTTAAAAGCACACACATTTTGACATACTAGTAGTACTAAAACAACAATCCGTTATAAGAAAAATTCCTTTTAAACAAGGTAGGCAGCTGATTTATAGAATTTCCCCATAAATTATGCAAATCACATAATTATATCAAGCATCACGTAAGCTACCTACATACCAACAATAACGACTATCTATAAACCGGTTCTTGAGTTATCCTCTTTTGAATACTTTCAAACATATAGCCCTGCAGTTCCAGAGCAAGCCGCTAGGGGGTCTAAACTCACGTCACTTCTTCCCCAGCACAAGAGCTACCTACCATCTAAATTTCGTCACCCTAACATGTTTAGATCATGAGATATGAAAACCGGAAGTTTAGCTGCAGTACCATAACAAGCCGCTAGGGGGCCCCAAATCTAATCATTTTGAGGTCTCATCAAGACCTACCCACCTACCAAATATCAAGACAATCCATCAAGGCCTTGTCAAGTTATCTTGTTTACAGACACACAGACACACACACACATACACGAACGCCTCTGAAAACATAACCTTCTTGGCGAAGGTAATAATTTTATTATTAAAATACGTCGCCGGTGTGTTTTTTAAACACCACCCTTGTTGTGGTTGCTAAGGCCTGACCACAAAACTGGTAGCTAGTTGCATGTGGTGTTCGTTTGTTTGTCATGTGCATAATGTAGCATTTTTCGGGATTAAACTGCATGAGCCATTTGCTTTGCCATTCTTCCAGGGTGTTCAGGTCTTTTTGGAGAAGTTGTGAGTCGGTCTGTGTAGAAAGCTCTACATACAATAGACAGTCAATCTTTGACTGCTAATCTTGACTTTCAGATGCTGAATCCTGGCACATCGACATGCCAATGTTAAAGAGTACTGATGAGTTGAAGACGCTCAACACTGTGGCTGTTGAGCCAGAAGAGGAGAAGAAGATGTCGAACATGCTTGCTGTTGAGCCAGCAGAGACGAAGATGACTAAGATGGATGCTGTGGACGCTCCAAACATGTCTTCTGGTCTGGACGGTATGTCTGCAAATCAGGGCTCGAAATTTATTTTTTGGAATAGGTGCAATGGTGCACCCAACCTAAAAAAATTAGGTGCACAATATATGTGTGTGTGTGTGTGTGTGTGTGTGTGTATAGTAATTATAGATCTTACTGCTCCTTTTCTAAGCTTGATTCTGAAATGGGAGCTAACTTCAACATTTCAAACAAGTACAAAGTACAAGTACAAAGATTTTATTATTTTTCTGAAACTTAGATGCCAAGAAAATCCTGTTATAATACTATTATACAATATGTACAAAAATACCTACAAAATTTTGGGTGCACTGGTGCACCCACAGAAAAAAATTGGGTGCACAGCTCCAAATTTGGGTGCACTAAGGTGCACATGCACCCAGTATTTGGAGCCCTGCTGCAAATTAATGGCACCCAATGGAATTTCAGGGCAGCAAAACTGAATTCACAAAGTCAATTGTCTCGTAATTACCTTCGCCAAGAAGGTTATGTTTTCAGTAGCGTTTGTCTGTGTGTGTGTGTTTGTGTGTGTGTGTGGTTTAACAAGGTAACTCAAGAAGCAGTGGATGGATTGGAATGAAACTTGGTAGGTGGGTAGGTCTTTATGAGACCTAGAAATGATTAGATTTTGGGCCCCCTGGCGGCTTTCCTAGGTACTGCAGCAGAACTTCCGGTTTTGATATCTCGTGATCTGGACATGCTAGGGTCACGAATTTTGGATGACAGATAGCTCTTGGGATAGAAAAGAAGTGACATGAGTTTGGGACCCCTAGCGTCTTGTTCTGGAACTACAGGAGCATTTGTTGAAAAAAATTCGAAGGACGATAACTCAAGAACCGGTTGACGTATTGTCGTGATTTTTGGTATGTAGGTAGTTGAAGTGATGCTTGGCATAATCAGATAACAATTATGCAAATCAGGACTTAATTTACATAATTAATGAGGAAATTCTATAAATCTGCTTTGTTCAATAATAGAACTATGAAACACTTGTGACATCTACTTGAGAACGAGAAAAACATCTGAGGATATAGATTATGTAAATGAGGACCTAATTTGCATAATCAATTAATCAAATTCTTATAATTCCATAGTTGTAACTGCTGCACCCCGAATTTCATACTTTCCACATTTGGAAGTTAAGTGAAGGTGAACATCAATAAACATAATTTATTCAAATCATGACCTCATTTGCATAATTTATGAGGAAGTGCTATAATAGCCTTTTTGTTATGATAAGGCCGTCATTGGATGGAGAATATGATCAACTGATATAATCCATGCAAATGAGGCTCTTATTTACAATGATTAAAATTGTATAATTCGTCACCCGCAAGGGTTAACATCATTTGGCGAAGGTATGAGATCGTGGAACTCTTGTTTTTTAATGTGTTAAGTTGAATCAACATGGCCCATACAATACTGATATCTGTGAGGCAAAAAATGTGATGTCGTTGAAAGTTGCTTATTTTGTTTCGTAGGCTGGCTCTAGGTATTTATTGGTGGTACCAAAAAAATAAGGGGACTACTTGCGTAGCTTGTTTTCGGGCTATTTCAAACAATTCAAGTATGACATTATTACAAAATGAGGCACGAGGTAAAAGTAAATGTGAATATCATACAGATTTACTCATAAGGAATTTTGTCTGAAATTGCATTGGGTGCCTTTAAATCGATAAAACAAATATTAAAAGAGAAATCATAAATAAAGCACAATAGCAGTTGTTGTTAATACTTATGCTATTTTACATTTCTCGAATCAAGTACAACAGATTTCAAGAGTCTCGATGTTGGAGACAGATTTGAATATATCTTTACATGTAAAGGTCTCCACAACGCAAAAATAGGTAGATATATAAAGGAATGCTTTGCTATTAGAAAAAAAAATACCAAAACTTGTGATAAGCCCACTCGATCGTAACAGATTATCAAATAGTTGTGCTATCCCTTATTGTTTAAGTAATTAAGATATGTTAGGTTTTATTCGACATTAGGTCTTATTCAACATATTTATTTCATTGTTTGTTACGTTTTTGATGTAGTTTGCCATATATTGTACCATGTGCAATTGTCGTGCAATAAAGCTCTATGTATACCCTGTCCAAGAACTATATGCATTCCGTTGCAAGCTGACGAAAATTTAATATTTTCATCTCTAGCTGTGCAGCCACCACCAGAGACCCAATCAGCTCATCCCTTTGAGTCTCAGTCCGGAAGCACCATTGAAGTAGACAATGGCAATCCCATCATCATTGAGATTGTCGGAGACGGTGAGAAAGCTTCTTCATATCTGTGTTTATTGTTTGTGCAGTGATCCAATTTTAAAAATGTAAATGTGGCTACCATAGTGAAACAACTGAACACTACTTTCTACATTGTAAAATTTATTCCAGTCAAAGAAGTACCCATTATCATCTCTCTCCAGCATAGTAGAGCTACAGCATCTCAATGGCAGTTCTCTATGTTCTTACTACTTCGAGGGTTCACATCACTTTCACACCTACAAAACTGTAATGTGTTTGATTCTCGTAATTGATAGATCACCAGCTTGTCTTGTTTGTTTTATCCACCTTGTAATTATGGCTTCACCACACCACGAAGTGGTGTGGTGAAACCATATTGCTTTTTCTGATGTTTCTCCTCCTTCTTCTTCTTCTTCTTCTCCTCCTGCCATATCTTTAAATGGATTCAGCTTCTTCATTTTGGGGCCTAAGGATCTGAAATTTGGTATGGAGGTACAGTGGGCAAATACCCTTAGGCGTTTTTTTAAATTTTTGTGATACAGGCTTTTAGAATGGTTTTATTTGAGTTTTTTGGCTGTATTATAGCAAATGTATTAATGTGTCAGTGGGCAGTGTTAACCACATTTGGCATGAGTCATCACAATGGAATGCAGGGCATCAACCAATAGGCATGCAGCTTTCCTCTCTTCTTCTTGCTGATTGGCTGTTGGGATTTAACTTGATTAACACCTGCACAGACCATTTCCACCTGCACAGAGCATTTCTTGCTGATTGGTCTGTTGGGATTTAACTTGATTAACACCTGCACAGACCATTTCCATACTGACAGTATGTCTGTATTCATGTGTTTTGGTAGGTATTCAAGCTTTCCTGCTCCAGCATTGGAATGCGGGCATGAACGTTTTTTTTTTGAAAATCAACAGTTTGCATTATGCAATTAAAAATCCTAACCAATAATGTAGGGAATAGCTAGCCAACTGTTGTAGTCTTAGTTGTATGTTACTTCATATTATAGTTATATCAATGTAAAGCATTGTTTTCCCTTGTGTTTCTCATTCTTTCCCTGCCATGTCGTAAAATGTGGTGAAGCCATCGCTGTATTTGCTCCAAAGCAAATATTGGCCTTTCTAGTTATGCATGTATCTTGTCAATGTGTTTTATACTCGTTGTATGTTTTGAGTAGAAGGTGTTATATAAGCAACATTTGCTTTTTGCCCAATACTTAATAAATATGTGAATAAAAAAAGATACTTTAAAAATACTGTTTTAAATCACGTCAATAGACTAAGCATTAGATACGAACAACTAGAGTTCCACGATCTCATACCTCCGCCAAAAGTTGTTAATCATTGACTTGTAGATGTCTCTCATGATTATGCAAATGAGATCCTGATTTGCTAGTTATATCAGATGATCATATTCTGCACCCAATTACAGTCTTATCTTTACAAAGCAGGCAACCATAGCATTTCCTCATAAATTATGCAAATGAGGTCTAAAATTAGATAAATTATGTTAATGATGTTCACCTTCACTACAACTTCCAAATGCCACGTTCTGTGTTACTCTAGCCAAGAGCGTGCGTTGGCTGCATGAAGGGACTCCACTACCCAACAACGAGTTGTACCAGCAGTCCACCGAGGGCGAAGACCTGCACTCCCTTTTCATCGCCGAGGTATCCGGACAGAACCAAGGCTGTTACACCTGTGAGGGGACCACGGAATACGGCGTGGTCAACTGTGACATCTTCCTCAAGGTCCGAGAACCGCAGACCGAGACTGTGTCACAAGTGTAGAACTACTGGCTACAATTCAATAGACCGAACGCTTCTATAGCTTTATTAATTTAAGTAGTCTCTTCTTGTAATTGAATTGATAATCCATCAGGTGGGGGGAGGAGTTTTGCAAACATTTCTATTTACATATATGTTGTTTTATTGTTAGATAGCGCTGGCAAAGAAGGTTGGTCAACTTAAGTGCAGTGTCTTGTACCCTTGTTATCTTGAATAAAAAAAAGGATAGGTCAATGTTTCTACTTTGTTCAGAAATGTTGTTAGTGTTCTATGTCTACATGTCTTGCAGATTTAAAAACGAGTTGAAAATTAAGAAAGGGTTGACTTTTTTATTATCAAATAGTCAGACGTAACTTTGACATCCTGACCTTTATTTAGCTTACTTTGTATATGAGCATTTTGCTTTATATTCAGATATATGAATAACACATATACATGTATACGTACGTATGTAGTACAGTGTGCACTCTTTACCAGACCGAACATTTAATGAAATACAACTGTTACTATCACGGTAAAGCACAAAACATTATCTATCCGAGAATGTTCAATATAATGTCATCAGAAGGACCAGTCTTGTATGGCAATTTAAGTTGCGGGGTAAAAAAAGAATAGCCACATAGGAATTGTGACAATCATATCTCTAACTAGAATTCCGAGATCTCATACCTCCATGAAATATGATCTTGATATGTAAATGTAAATTTCTTCTTTAATTGTTCAAATGACCTCTGCATTAACATGATATATGCATCGTGATGTATGTTAACTTTTGATTAACTTACAGATGTCCCAAGTATGACATTCTCATCATTCACCATTACGAAATCATAGAATTTTCACATTAATTATGCAAATTAGGTCATCATTTGCATAATTAGTATCTGTTGAAGTTCCGCCTGCCCTAGGTTACATAGTATAATGTAAAACACTGTAATTATAGAATTTCCTCATTAATTATGCACATAAAGTCCTCATTTGCATAATTTACATTTAATTATGTACATGGAGGTTATATTTTCAGTTGCGTTTATCTGTCCGTCTGTCTGTTGGTCAACATGATAACTCAAGAATGCCTGGATGGATTGGTTTCATACTTCGTGTGTTGGTAGGGTGTGACGAAAACTGGAAATGATGAGATTTTGGTCCCCCTAGTGGCTTCCCTTGGTACTGCAGCGCAACTTTCGGTTTTGATATCTCGCGATCTGGACATGCTAGGGTCATGAAATTTTGATGGAAGGTAGCTCTCGTGCTTGGGAAGAAGTCATATGAGTTTGGGCCTCCTAGCGGCTTGTTCTGGAACTGCAGGGCACTTTCTGGCGAAATATTTAAAAGCCAATAAGTCCAGACAGGAACAACATATTTTCATTTTTTTTGGTGTATAGGTAGCTGAGAGAGAGATGTACATAATTAAATGCAAATTATGCAAATGAGGACTTTATTTGCATAATTAATGAGGAAATTCTATAATTACAGTGTTTTACATTATACTATGTAACCTATGGCAGGCGGAACTTCAACAGATACTAATTATGCAAATGATGACCTAATTTGCATAATTAATGTGAAAATTCTATGATTTCGTAATGGTGAATGATGAGAATGTCATACTTGGGACATCTGTAAGTTAATCAAAAGTTAACATACATCACGATGCATATATCATGTTAATGCAGAGGTCATTTGCACATTTAAAGAAGAAATTTACATTTACATATCAAGATCATATTTCATGGAGGTATGAGATCTCGGAATTCTAGTTTTGTACATGTTACAATATCATCTTAGACTTTATTTCACTAATATGAGTGATATAACATTTATTGAGTGTGTATTCAGATATATTAAATGGGTTAGGTTTTCAGGTATTTCAGTGAATCTCTGTTATCTTATTTTTCAATAAATACATAAAATATTTGTCATTACTATAATAACTAATGCGAGCTCTTGGCATCTATTTTAACAAGGTAATCGGTAACAACAAATATCTAAAGGGAAAGATATAGAACATTGAGTAAGTATCGATATTGCGTGTTGTAGTTTATTCTTGTCATTTGATGGCTCATAGATTTTATCATTGGAGCTTCAGGACTTGTATACAAACGGAGTGCTATTCATTAAAGTACACACCAAATTATTATGTTGTCGCTGTGTTATAATTTTTCTACAAATTATAACAGGCATTCAGAGTTAGACCAACTACTATAACAAAAGATAATGCATGTTGCTAGTTCTACGGCGTGTCTGCCTGCTCCCTGATCCGTAGGATTCCGTACGGAGGCGGTACTCACCACTTAAGCGACGGTCACAACCCGCCGTACGTGCTCCTGCGTGCTGTCTACGTGCAAAAACGTGGGCAAACGTAGGGCATCCGTGCGTGGTGAGTACCGCCTTCGTACGGAATCCTACGGATTTGGTAGCACGCAGACACGCCGTAGAACTTTAAGTGCATGTAAAACTTTTTCTGCGTGCGGTCTACGGATTCACCACCCGTGCGTGCGAGTACGAGCGACGTGCGTGCCCCGTACGTGCCGTGCGGAAGAAGCACGTGTGAGTACGGCCTCCTTACGGTAAAGTTGCAATCGCACAGAGATCGTACGTTGTAAGTACGTACAACTCACTTACCACTTGCGCAACGTACAATGCACGCAACCGCTCACGGACAGACGTAACGTGCAGACCACACTCTTACAACTTGCGCAACCGTGCGATTGACGTGCGAGTGACGTGCGTAGACGCCACTCCTTCCCTACGTTTTCAGAAAAAACGTAGCAGACGTAGCCTCCCAAAAAACGTACGGACAAAAAGCACGTACGGCGGGTTGTGACCATCACTTAACGGATCCCCTACGTTTGCCCACGTTTTTGCACGTAGACAGCACACAGATGCACGTACGGAGGGTTGTACGACGCTTTAGTCAGGCTAAAGCAACGCGAATGATTAAATAACCGCTAATCTCCACCCCCGCACAGTAGTGTATTGAAAAATTACGTACAATCCAGATCTCTTTCATGTTATCTTGAATATTCCGTACTGACGCAAGTTATCCGGTATATGCAGGAAAACAAGTCTGCGTTATGCCAGAATTCACAACTCACATACCGTGCGGGAAAAACGATCTTCACAACGAAACATATGACACAACATCGAGATTTCTACAATAATATTGACAATATGATAATACACTACGATAAAGAATATCTATAACTTTTAGCAAATTAGATAATTCTAACTAATTACGAGGTGAGCGACCCTATTGGGTAATACGTGGGAAATGCCAAACCCCGTTTCCAGACAATCAAAGTTGCAGTTTTTTTCCGACATCACACATCAAAGGAAACTGTGGTATTTCTCATCAGCACTAGGCTGGAAGCGGAGTCAGTCCAAGATGGCGGATTTGAAGTGACTCTACGTATTTGTATAGAAAGTTTAGCATCACAAAACGTCATATTAACTCAGACTACGTACTGTCATCGCCAGTCAATCTACCGTGAACCAAGCACATTGTGAAATTTGTTTGACTGCAAAACACTATGTCCGTAACTCGATGTATAGAAAGACAACATAACGATGAATACTCATCTATTATAATTTCTTTTGAATATTCAGCTTCTTCCTCAGTTTTAACCTAACTTATAGACTAGGAAAAAATAACTTTCTTCTCTGTGTCGATTTGAAATGTCTGTGCTTGGCCAATCAAACTTATCTACAAAGTGTACTGGATGATGTGATGATTGGTTGTTTGAATCGGTTTATTTGATTTGATTTGATTTATTAAAATTGCAACAGTGCAATACACGCGGAACAGAGGCAGCTGTTGCTGGTGTTGTGTCCCACACATAGAAACGAATACTGGACAGACAATACTCATTTTCGCTTGAGTCTAGTGGGGAAAGTCGTGTAAAGTGCCTGTCCCAAAGGCACAAGATTGGTGGCATGTCAGGACTCGAACCCGGGACCTCTTGATTCCGAGTCGCGCACGCTGCCGTTGTGCCACACGACCCCACAAGATTTGATACCCCGACATAAACTTTAGTATTGAGAATGAAATTTCTAGGAGTATCTGACAAATACGACATTATTGTTTAATGTTGCTTCAGTAACAAAATTTTGTTGGTCTTAAGTCCAGTAGTAAAATGTCCTGATAAGGTGAGGAAATCGCTAATAATACAGGGTTAGACATAAACCACAGCCTCCAATTTCTAGACAATTAGAGTTACTAATATTCATGAATGTGTACTTTAGGAGAATCGAGGAAAGCTGCGCTCTGAGCCGCGCCCGAGCTTGTAAAGCTCACGGTCCGACATGGCGTGCGCTCCGACAAAGGAGCTACATCAGAGAGCCACAGTGATGGCTGTTAATGACTCTCACGAGTCCTCAGAATTGACTGAAGAAGCAACTTTTATTGAAGATTCCCACAGCCGTGCTTCTGGCCGGTTCTCCGCCGTGCACTATCGGAAGGTACCGTCTCGCCTCCACGGACAAGCTCTGGGGAAACCGGCTCGTCTCTGCGGGCAGACTCCGGGAGATCTGTCTGGTCCACCCAGGAAGACCTCTGAGCTATCGTTCCGTCGCTCTGGACAGGACACTGACCACGAGTTACCGTCCCGTCGCTCCGAACAGGCCACTGGGCTACCGTCCCGTCGTTCCGGACAGGAAAATGACCACGACCTATCGTCCCGTCGCTCCGGACAGAAAAATGGACACAACCTATCGTCCCGTCACTCCGGACAGGCCAATTACCACGGACCACCGCCCGGCCACTCCGGAAAGAATCCAGCGGGACCATCCCGACATGAAGCCGAAGGACAGACCCCGGCAGGGCGGTTTGTTCTCCCCAAAGAGAGGGACGTGAAAAGGGCGGGCGTGTACCGGCACAGGCTGCGGAGGGAAGACCTCAACAAGATACCGCTCAACCCCATGTACGGCGCAGATCTACCGTCAGGTCAGGAACTCTTTTTTTTTTGGAAAAGTGCTTTTATATTATTGCTTTTACTGTACCATTCCAACATGTATTACAAGACATGGCGACGGCACGCTCAATTTTTTCAACTTATTTTCATGCCGCCACCAACGCAGAAAAACGCATGAACGGCCAGCAGACTTACTAATGTTTACCTGAGTGAAGTGAGGAAATTCGTATTAAGTGTCTTTCCCAAGACCTGGCACGACAGAATTCAAACTCGCGACCTCTTGGTTTCGAGCCGAACGCTCTATTTTACGCCACACGACACCACTTTAAGAATACACTACGAAATGGAAAGCAAAAACTAGGCATGTTGACATGTTTTCCTCACTGTGTCGGCCAAAATTCAACTACAACAGAAACTCTGCCACGCATAGAATCGCATGAAAATAGACATAAAGGGCCATAGAACCCACAATATTACACCGAATTTGTGCTGTAACACTTTAAAAATACACTGCGAGAAAAATGTAGGCATGTTCACAGGTTTTCCCCTATTATGTCGGACAAAATTTAACTACAACTGAGGAAACTGCCAAGTATAAGATCAAATGAAAGGGAGTTTAGAACGCATCGTATACGTAAGTAACACAATTTGTGATTTGGGGCCTCGAAGTTATGGTCCAGTGAAAATTGAAAGATTTAGCATTTGTCTTTTTGCAAATTTCAAAATGTTGCGTCCCCAATTTTTTGTCTGTGCACCAAAATGTTTAGGTCTGGTGCAACTGTTCCCACAATGCATTTCGAGCCCTAGTTTCTACCCTGTTCTTTGAATATGGCCAGAAACTAGCTGACAACAGTAAGAAACAGTATAAATTCAGTCAATTCACAAGATTAATGACTATATATGACAGCATGGGTAAGGCCACACCGACTCCATCCGCGCACGCATTGATTTTCGTCTGTCGCCCTCAAAAAAAATCCCGTCCACCGAGGCTTTGACCTGGCTCTAGGCCTGGATAATCCATGTTAGTTAGCGACAATATAATACGGAGCCGGGCACCCAGACTACCGAAACTCCACGACTCAAGAACTCAGTACATATGTACAGTACCGATTCATAGATTCCACAAGCCGGCTTGTCGTATACGTCGCTATGTACTGTCGCGAATTCACAATACCAGCTTTGTATTCCTGTGGTTTAGTAGCATTTTTATTTTTGGCCGGATTTTTTTTTATTCGCCCGCTCGCACTAGTTTGGGGGTCTTCAGATGATGTCATCCACAAAATCAAGACGGTGTGGCCTAAACATGCATGTACCAAAAGGGCGCCAAAAAGATATAATGTCTTATAGGACCTAGTTTACATTGTTGTTGTAGAAATACCCAAACGGCTTTAAAATATGCCCCGTTCACATATTTGAATCTCATTACCTCCGCATAGGAGTCTACATTGTATTTCTTTTTACGGCTCTCGGTGGCAAATGTGCAGATGTTGAACATTGGCTCACCAAATCCGTAGTGTGTTTTGGCACACATTTAGACAGATTAGCCTACGAAGTTCGGTGGGCGTCACTCCACCGTCAGGGAAAGGAAAAAATGCCTTTCACAAAGAATCGAACCCGGGACCTCTTGGTTCTGACTTCAACGCTCTAAACTGTTGCGCCACCGACGCCACTGTAGGAGTCTATGCTACATTTTTACTTTGGTGGTTTGTAACATGGTTACTGAGAAATATCTTTTATCCTTTTTAAATAATTTTCTTTGTTGGCTCATTTTTTCTGGTACTAGTATGTGGTCTGTCATCCTCGGCAAACCATCTTTCACGTATACGCATATTTCCGTCAAAAATGCCAGTGTATAATTGATATACGTATACTGTCCAAGTTAGGTTTTGTAATATTTTTTTGCGTGTGTTTAGGCTTTTATCGTTTTTTTAAAATGGCTTTCTATTATGCACTGGAATCTAAACTTCTGTTTGGACAGTATAATTGATGTGCATATCAATCCTCGAGTGTGGTTTCTTCTGGCGCATTTGTTAATGTACAGAATAATTTTGTATGAGAGTTACTTTTGGAAATAAACATTTGCATGTGTGTGTGTGTGTGTGTGTGTGTGTGTGTGTGTGTGTGTGTGTGTGTCTGTCTGTCTGTGTGTATGTGTCTGTGTGTGTTTGTGTATGTGTGCCTCTCAGTCTCTCTCTCTGTGCGTGTGTGTGTGTGTATGTATGTATGTGTCTGTGTGTCTCTCTCTCTGTGTGTGTGTGTGTGTGTGTGTGTGTGTGCCTCTTTCTCTCTCTCTCTCTCTGTACATGTATGTATGTGTCTGTCTGTGTGTGTGTGTGTCTGTGTCTATATGTGTGTGTGTCTGTGTGTGTATGTGTGTGTGTCTGTGTGTGGGTGTGGGTGTGTGTGTATATGTGTGTTTGTGTGTGTGTGTGTGTGTGTGTGTGTGTGTGTGTGTGTGTGTGTGTGTGTATGTGCGTGTCTGTTCACTACAACAGGCGATAGAGTGTTTGGTAAGCAATGCAACATCCATGACTGAACTAGTCTCCAGACAATTTGGCTAATGCTTCCTTATCTTTTAAAAGGGCCTGACGGAAGTGTCGATGACCAACAAGAAACAACTCCGAAAGAACCAGGCGGGCCATTCCAAGTCGGGACGACGTCCTCCGGCCGACCGGGAGGTCAAGGTCAAGGCGCCGCTCAAGGTCACCGTCCGGCAGCTGGGCTAGCGGCGTCTGGTATGTTTGTTTGTTTGTTTGTTTGTTTCTTTATTGGTAATGACAACAGGTCAAGACACAGGTTATCAAGACAGTGTTAACTGGTGTTAGATAACCCACATATACAAACGTGGAGACGAAATAAGAAATAAGAAATTTGTTTGTTTGTTTGTTTGTTTATTCGGATCCCCATTAGTGTTTTGACATTATTCTTTCTGGTGTCCAACTCAACATAATCAAATTAAATATAGATAACAATAACTTGTACAAATGGTATATAGAAATTACAAATTGATAAACCTTAATGTATATTTTGTACTTGTGTCTATCAAGGTTGTGTTTATGATGTCAGATATAAGAGTTTTTTTTAATATGAATGGGTTTTACTCGTCAACGCACTTTTGCTATATGTTAATTGATCTTTACGTAATGTACTAGTAATACTTTTAACTGATAGAATGTTGTTTATTACCTCCATGAAAAATGGAGGTATTGTTTTTGTGTCTGTGTGTGTGTCTGTGTGTGTGTGTATGTCTGTCTGTCTGCCTGTGTGTATGTCTGGATGTGTGTTTGTGTTTCCGCAACTTTGTAGTCAGCATAACTTCAGAACGCCTTTATGGATTGTGATGATATTTGGTACGTTGGTAGGTCTTAGGAAGACAAAGGTCAAGGTCAAATATTGGCCTCCTGGTGGCTGACCTTGGTTCTGCAGTAGATTGTTTTTTAAATGACAAAAATGTTAAATCGACACACTTCAGTCGAGTTCAAGACTGCCAAGTTGATTGAATGATTGATGTTTGATTTGATTTGATTTGATAAAGGAAAATTCAAAATTACAAGGCTGAATAAAAGTCTTAACGGGAAACTCTGCGGCTCCACATGTCTTACTGAGGGACGACTGCGTGTGTGAGATGTCGGTTAGTTTGAGGAATGAATCCGCTCTACTATTTACTAGGTCCCGCCACACACACGTACGAGGACGGCGACACGTTCCACCAGGGTCTCGGGAAGCCTCTGAGCCGAGATGCCGGCCGCGCCCCGCCCGTCCCCTCTACCCCGAGGCCGGGAGGACGAACCACCGCCGACGGCCGGTCCCAACCTGACCCGGCCGCTGCCCACACGTACGAGAACGGCGACCAGTTTCGGCAGGGGTTCGGACCGCCTCTGAACCGGGACGTCCTCGGCGCACCGCCTGTTCCCTCTACCCCGAGGCCCGGGGGCGGCCAACAAGTGCCGCCGGTCGGGCTCAATCCGTTACAGAACCCGCAAGACATCCTCCGCCAGCTCCGGCCAAACCCGATGTACAGCTCAAACCACGCCCCGCTGCCGCCGCAAGGTCCGTCTTATAGCAGCTTCTGTTAGCTTTCTTCACAGAATTGTGAGAGGGCGGCGTTAATTTTCTTCGGGGAACGACGCGAGTTATGCCGCGGAGGGACGGTTTCACCGCTGTCTACCACCAGCAAAGTCCCTCGGCGGCAAAACCGCCCCTCCGCGGCATAACTCGCGTCCCTCTCCGAAAAATTTTAACTCCGCCGCCTCACGAGTCTGCGAAGGAGGCTAGATTCCGTGCGGCAAGGGGAGTCCATATTGGGCGCATGTATCCATTGGCATACATACAGTACTGTAACACGTAGGGGGTAGGGGTGGCAGCGGTTTTCTGGCGGCCAATATAGACTTCCCTTGTCCCACAGATCTAGAATACGCTTGTGACATTTATTGAAAATCTAAATAGATAAATTTATTATTCACAATCATTGTTAGTATCCTACACAGAGAAGAACACCTTTTTAAAGCAAGCAAAGCTGCTGAGCTGAATACATTTGATAACTGTTATCAAAAATCATTAATATTAGAATGCTTAATAGCACTCTTATTTCATCTCGTAAAACTTCATTTGTGTTGCTAACAGTTGCTAAGTAGACCCAACAAAAAATTGTAAAACATTGCACTTTATTCCAACACACAGTTTACAGAGAGATCAAATTTTCAGAGATCAGTTGCTGACGTCACGTATCAGTAAAGTCTCGTGTGATTTATGTCACGTGTTTGTAAACCGTAACTCTCGCGCGATCACGTTGTGAAGTGATTGGTCATTAATTATCCTGATGAAGGCGACAGTGGTCGTCGAAAATTTTATCTCTCTGTAAACTGTGTGTTGGAATAAAGTTCAATGTTTCACAATGATTACTACCAACACAGATGAACTTTCATGACAACAAAAAATTGTATGTTTCTTCTGTCCACCTCACAGCGTCATCAGAAGAGAACATCTGGGAACGCTTACGTCATCGCCTGTCACCACGCCTGCTGAAGTGCGTCATCGCATCGACCGTTGCCATGGTAACACTGCTGATCGTGGTACCTGTACTTCTGACGCAACTCAACTTCCAAGCTGGGAACAACGGCACTGTAAGTTGACATCAGCCTGCTTTGCAGGCTGAATAAATAGTCAACAAGACTGGCAATGAAAACATACATTGCCAAGGCGACGGTGGTTGCTGTTAGGGTTATTGTTTGCACGGCACTGCCATGAGTTCATGATTTTGAGGAAGACTTGGTACCTGTTAAGTCTAGACAGATACAGTGCACTCCTCCCCTGAGTGTATAGTGAACGAGCCCCGGGGTCACAGAAAGTAGGGCCTTTCGGAGCAGACAGGTCTTCCCAAGGGTCTCCAGGAATGTGGGCATAGTTGTGGGTCGGAGACATGCCTATGGACATTCCATGCCTGTGGACAAAATGCCTGTACCATTTCTAGATTTCTTGCAAACTGCACACAATACTGTACCATTAGGCTCCTCCCTGAGACGTCGCCAAAATCAGCCTAAAAAGGGGAGTTAGCCGGCCATAGGAGGACTAGCATGCCTACCTTCTATGGCCGGCTAACTCCTCTGGCCAATTATATTCCCCTTTTTAGGTCAAGTTTGACGATTTATTCAACCTGCAAAGTAGTCTGGTGGAGACTAGTAATATTACTTATATCTGTACAGATGGTTCAAAATATTAATGTCCGGAAAACAAACAACTGGCAAAAACACATTATCAGAGTAAACATAATATGCACATTGTTACAGGTTTTATGTCATTTCAACTGTAGCTGGTGTGCATGTTACGCCGAAAGGCGGTTATACCGGCTATACAGATACAGATACAGAGCACATTAACATTGTTCACAAAACAATATAAATGCCTGGAAAACAAACAACTGGCAAAAACCACATTATCAGAGGAAACATATATATTGATATGAAGATTTTAGTATTTTTCTGTCATCTCAAATATGAATGACACATTTAATTAACATTGTTTAAAAAACAATATGAATGTCTGGAAAACTGGCAAAAAGACATAATCAGAGTAAACTGAATATGAAGATTGTTGTCTTTTTCTGTCTTTCTCAAATATGAATATGACACATTTAATTAAGGCCACACCAATTTAATTTGTTAGTTCTCGGATTCGTCTCTTCATTTTTTTCTAACTTGCCAAAAAAAGGATTTTGGTTCTAAATCAACTATAAAAAATGCTCACATTTTGCCCCCAACATGTGAGGAAAGTCCTTTTCTTCCTAACAGTTTTTCCATATCTATCTAGCTTTTTGTGTTGACTTCATGGATCCTATCGTAGCATTTGGGGCTATAATAGAATTGTTTTTATTTTTATCTTTTTTCGCCCTGTCGCTTCATATTTTTTCAAAAAAAAATCCGAGAACCAGCAAATTAAATTGGTGTGGCCTAAGATTGTTTGCCCTTTTTCTACAGGCGGCTACAACTACAGCAGGGCCCCTGAACATCACCCGTACGGCTGTCTGGAAAGGTCCTGACAAGGTGGGGACATCTGCTGACGTCATCAAGAAGCCTGACAAGGTAACGACTGATGACGTCATCAAGGGCACTGCCAAGGTGACGCCTGATGACGTCATCAAGAAGACTGACAAGGTCACGCCTGCTGACGTCATAAGGGTCAGTACTTGTCAGTCTTCTTGATGACGTCATCAGATGACACTTTGGTAGTCCTCAGTAGAGCGGAAATTCTGCCAAGCGGTATCCAGTCAGAAAGACAAATAAAATTAAACTGTTCTGCTTTTGCGAACCAACTCCCTTGTCATGTTAAGCCACAGCAAGTAAATTATATTGATGACATTCTCCGCAGACTCCAAATCTAATGCGAGCGGACGAAAAAAAAAACAAGGCGGGCCGAAAAAAACAAGGCTCCTACAATTTACAATTTTGACTCAATCATTGTACAAATGGTTTTGATTCAGTGGGAACATCACATATACACAGCCAGCATCACATATCACTGCATCAAAGTAAGAAACAAAACATTAAATCAGAGCCCTTTCTTGTCTGATCCCCTCTTCATAGTTATCTGCCATCCACCTTCTGGAATGGCAACAGACATTTTTGCCCATTATCGGCATGTTGACCACTTTCAGAAGGCAACAAAATTTCTTTCTTTTTTTTTCAAAATCAGGCGAAAATTATGCGCGCGCTGATGTCATCCATAAAAATTACTTGCTGTGGCCTTATCTGTCTATTTGGCCAATTTATACTCTTTTAATCCACCTCTAAAGCCCAGTAGAGGCTACCATGTAGCCATGTAAACAATATGAAGTACGTTTAAACTGTAATTTCCAACACAACAAGAATTGGAGTCACCCAAATTGTGTTGGAAATTACAGTTTAAACTTACTTCATAATGACTTCTACCAACACAGATGAACTTTCAAGACATGTAAACAATAGATTATAACAAGAGTTCCACGATCTCATACCTTCGCCAAATGATGTTAGCTTTTATGATTAAGAAATTATATATTAATCCCCCTAATTATGCAAATAGGATCCTCAATTGCATGGATTATATCTGTTGATCATATTCTCCACCAAAAGACAGTCTTATCTTAACAAAGAATGCCATGATGAGATTTTCTCATAAATTATGCAGATGAGGTCCTTATTTGAATAAGTTATGTTTAATTATGTTCACCTTAACTTAACTTTCAAACACCCCAACTATAAAATTCCAGGCAGTTACCACTATGCAATTATAATATTTTCTCATTAATTATGCAAATTAAGTCTTCATTTGCATAATCGATATCTGCCTGTGTTTCTCTCATTCTTAATAACATATGTCACAAGCTTGAACTTCCTATTATGGAATGCAGCTGATAAATAGAATTTCCTCATTAATTATGGAAATTACATCCATATTTGCATAATTGTAATATCATTATGTCAAGCATCACTCAAGCTACCTACATACCAAAAATCACGATGATCCATCCATCTTTAAACATTTGTCCATTAAACCCCCCTGCAGTTCTAGAGCAAGCAACTAGGGGACTCAAACTCTTGTCACTTCATCCCCAGCACAAGAGCTATCTACCATCTAAATTTCGTCACCCTAGCATGTCTGGATCATGAGATATCAAAACCGGAAGTTCTGCTGCAGTACCATGACAAGCCGCCAGGTGGCCCAAAATCTAATCATTTTGAGGTCTCATCAAGACCTACCCACCTACCAAGTATCAAGACAATCCATCAAGACCTTCTCAAGTTATCGTGTTGACAGACAGACACACACACACACACACACACACACACACACACACACATACACGAACGCCCCTGAAAACATAACCTTCTTGGCGAAGGTAATTACTTACTTCTTAGCCATATCACCGATATCCAAACTTAGCATGCAGATAAACAGCATCAATGATAATATGTATATTTGTCACAGGGGAGATTGGAATCCAGGGGGATCCGGAATCCTCCTAGGGGAGATTGGAATCCCTATCTCCCCTAGGGGAGACTGGAATTCAAGTTTTTTTTTCTACAAAACTGGGATCTGAATATCTGGATTCCAATCTCCCCTAGGAGGATTCCAGATCCCCCTGGATTCCAATCTCCCCTGTGACATATGTAACAAATATGTATGTATAGCAGTATAACGTTAGATCTTAAAACCATGGAACTCTTTGTGTCCTTGGGACCATGTGTCTCAATTTTTCCTGATAGACCACTTTATACTAAGGGAAGTCAGACACGGAAATTGAGGTGATAGAGAAATTGCTCGATCCACCAATTCACGAGTTTCCCATCCCCAGAATGCATTGCGAAAACAGGGGTCTAAACATTATTTGCATAGGACTGGAAGGCATCGGAATGATCCTGTTGATGTTAAACAGCTTGTTTTTCACTGTGGTTTGAACATGTTCCATGTTGAGAAGAACTAAAAAACGTTATTCTCTATTCATTGTCAGATTCGATCCATAGTAATTCAATTAATGTTGAGCATAAAATACCCCAACACCTCAAAACACAGTGAAAAACAAGCTGTTTAACGTCAACAGGATCATTCCGATGCCTTCCAGCCCTATGCAAATGACGTTTAGACCACTTGTTTTCGCGTTGCATTCTGGGGATGGGTAACTCGTGAATGCCGGTTAGTATGTTTACAATTTGACCCATTCTGACCGTTCAGGTGACTCCGGTCCCCGGGCGTGTTCCCCCGCACGGCGTCACGGTGGGGAGGGGGGCGGCAGGACCTGCACCCACCAACAAGCCGGACTTCACCACCAAGGAAGGTTTGTCATCACACTTTGTCCTAAAATAAAATTGATACATTTTTATTATGTTTACATACCGAAGGAAAACTTCTTGTTTTTGCTCAGTTTTGCTTCTTCTCCAAACAACTAAGGTCAATAATGACCTGAAGCAGACGTCTGTCACCATGGTAACTAGTGCTGGGTTACATCATGTTGCAATTTTATAGCAGGAGGGATTTAGACTCCTGTCTGACCATATATATTATGAATGTGTTTGGAATTAACAGGGCAGACCATATGCTAATGTAAACATTATGCATTTGCTTTGGAAATGTTGCCTTTCTAATTCTATTTTTTGCTCGGTACGTTTTTGTGTACTCCTATGACACTACACTAATAATGATTTAGTACATCTAACTATCACTTTGCTGATATCGGACAGTTCATGTCACAAGTAAAAGGCAACTGGTTGTTTCTATTAGTACTATTATTGCTGCAGTAAGTACGACATTGGACATTAATGATTTAATCAACAACTGTTGATTTGACAATCCAACGGAATTAATAATGCGATTAGTTCTATTTATTTTCATTTGTTTGTTTATTTATTTTGCAGCAACGTCTGACCAGGGCAGCAAGACCTACGTCATCCCCTTCAGCGATGAGTCGGGGCCCGGCAAACTGCGCACCGTGCGTGCAGTCGCGGTTTCCCCCGACAACAAGATCTGGGTGGCCGCAGCGAACCAAGCGCGCCTCCAAGTGTACAGCATGGCAGGCGGCTTTCTGCACGAGTTCCCACAGGACGCGCCAGGGCTGGGGTACCCAGGAAAGGATCCATCTCAGGTGTCCATCGACAGAGATGGCCACCTGTGGGTCTTCATGAATGGGTACCCTCGCACCACCGACACCGTGGTGCAGTTCGACAGGGAAGGCAATCTGAAAACCAAGTTTGATCTCCCTGAGGCTGCATCACGGGGGCCGCCCCGTGGCATGGCCGTGGGCTTGCATGTGTATGTTACCTGGTCTGACGGGTACCGTGGCGGCCTGCAAGCCTTCCGGCCTGACGGTAACCTACTGTGGGAAGTCGGGCAGCAGCCGCAGGTGCCCCGCGCGCGGATGAAGACGCCGAAGCACGTCGCCACTGACGGGAATGGGAAGATCTACGTCTCCGACTGGGGCACTCACACCATCTACATCTTTGACGAAGACGGAAAGTACAAGGGGAAGTTCGGAAGTCCGGGAAGGAGCGGCGGCCGCCTGAATCGTCCCGAAGGCATCTGTGTCGACCCTTCATCCGGTCACGTCCTGGTGGCGGACTCAGAAAACAGGCGCGTAGTGGTCTACACTAGCCAGGGGAGGTATGTCCGCTATATCACTATCACTAACAGCCCGCATCCCTACGTTGGCAAACCAGATGCCATCGCAGTGGGCCCTAGTGGGCAGTTGGTTGTGGATAAGGGTAATGCCATCATTGTGTTCACCCGCTACTGAGTATGCAGTAGGAAGGTGGCCCTTGCGTGATTGGAAGGGTTAACTGTAATCTCCAAGTAGTTTATATGATGGCGAGGCGGTATCCATTGGTTAGACACTTGGATACTGCCTCCATGGATACTGCCTCCATGGATGTCTTCATGGATACTGTCTCCGTGGATGCTGCCTCCATGGATGCTGCCTCCATGGATACTGTCTCTATAGATACTGCCTCCATGGATACTGTCTCCATGGGAACTGTTTCCATGGATACTACCATGAATAATGTCTCCATGGATGCTGCCTCCATGGATACTGTATCCATGGGAACTGTTTCCATGTGTTTTGTAAACATATGTCAAATTGTACCAAAGTGAAACATACCAACAACATCAACTAAGATGTGTTTTGTAAACATATGCACATGCAAATTGTACCAAAGTGAAACATACCAACAAAATCAACTAAGGTGTGTTTTGTAAACATATGTCAAATTGTACCAAAGTGAAACATACCAACAACATCAACTAAGATGTGTTTTGTAACATATGCACGTGTAAATTGTACCAAAGTGAAACATACCAACAACATGAACTAAGATGTGTTTTGTAAACATATGCACATGCAAATTGTACCAAAGTGAAACATACCAACAACATCACCTAAGATGTGTTTTGTAACATATGCACATGCAAATTGTACCAAAGTGAAACATACCAACAAAATCAACTAAGGTGTGTTTTGTAACATATGCACATGCAAATGTACCAAAGTGAAACATACCAACAACATCACCTAAGATGTGTTTTGTAACATATGCACATGCAAATTGTACCAAAGTGAAACATACCAACAACATCAACTAAGATGTGTTTTGTAAACATATGCACATCCAAATTGTGCCAAAGAGAAGCATACCAACAAAATCAACTAAGGTGTGTTTGTAACATATGCACATGCAAATTGTACCAAAGTGAAACATACCAACAACATCAACTAAGGTGTGTTTTGTAAACATATGTCAAATTGTACCAAAGTGAAACATGCCAACAACATCAACTAAGATGTGTTTTGTAACATATGCACGTGTAAATTGTACCAAAATGAAACAAACCAACAACATCAACTAAGTTGTGTTTTGTAAACATATGTCAAATTGTACCAAAGTGAAACATACCAACAACATCAACTAAGTTTTGTTTTGTAAACATATGTCAAATTATACCAAAGAGAAACATACCAACAACATCAACTAAGATGTGTTTTGTAAACATATGTCAAATTGTACCAAAGAGAAACAAACCAACAACATCAACTAAGGTGTGTTTTGTAAACATATGTCAAATTGTACCAAAGAGAAACATACATCAACATCAACTAAGGTGTGTTTTGTAACATATGCACGTGTAAATTGTACCAAAGTGAAACATACCAACAACATCAACTAAGGTGTGTTTTGTAACATATGCACGTGTAAATTGTACCAAAATGAAACAAACCAACAACATCAACTAAGTTGTGTTTTGTAAACATATGTCAAATTGTACCAAAGAGAAACATACCAACAACATCAACTAAGATGTGTTTTGTAAACATATGTCAAATTGTACCAAAGAGAAACAAACCAACAATATCAACTAAGATGTGTTTTCTAAACATATGCACGTGTAAATTGTACCAAAGAGAAACATACCAACAACATCAACTAAGGTGTGTTTTCTAAACATATGCACATGTAAATTGTACCAAAAAGAAATGATATCATTGAATCCATCCAGGCATTCTTGCAATAACGATGACTTCTAAATACATACAATTGTCCACTATATACAATTTCAACGCCCGAAAATTGGTCAATACTTAATATTTATAAATAATTTATCCCTTGTCCTGCTGGCATTCCTGGCACAATATTTTTCAATGATTTCATGTCTTAATTAGATCATAGACCCCCATTTTTTTTTGCTCTGCAGTGGCATAGTTACTTCCGGATTCGTTGCGTTTCGCTGCGGTGTGATGCGTTGCACGAGAAATACCCCCAAATTTTACCTATACAGGGTGTTATATAGATGGTACTGTTTGTGCAGAACGACAATTGTTGTACTCCACAGGACAAGGGTTGACAAAAAGGAAGTCCAACTGAACAACAAAACTATGCCCATGTACTGTGAAATGTAAAGTAGAGCTGGAGCTAAACTGTAGAAACTTATATTGTGACAAATGTTTAACATTTGAGGCCGGAATGTATCTATTTCTGCATGGAAGTTAGGAAGTTATTATTGTCTGTAAAATTGTTAATGCAGATGTATATTTTTGGTAAATCCCAAAATAAGGACGAGACAATTGTTATAGGTGTGAATTAGCCAGTGCAACCAAGTGCTAGGAATTTCTTTTGTAAATGATATTTGTAAGAATCAATAATTGAATTCGAATTTGTATCAGAGGTCAATGTAGAGGCCTGTTTGAACCAATAACCTTGTTTGAATGAACGAATGAATGATGCTTAATTAATGCACCCGGCTCGTGTGGGCTTATAAGACACCAGAAGAAAATATAGAACAAATGGGATATACATAAGGCCACAGCATGTAAATTTTATGGATGACATGGTCCGCGGACTCCAAATCTAATGCAAGCGGACGAAAAAACAAACAAGGCGGGCCGAAAAAAACAAGGTTCCTACATTTTAAAATTTTGACTCATTCATGGTACATGTACAAATGGTTTTGATTCAGTTGGAACATCACATATCACTGCATCAAAGTAAAAAAAACACATTAAATCAGAGAGTCTTTTCTTGTCTCCTCTCTTCATATTTATCTGCCATCCACATTCCGGCATTGCAACAGACATCTTTGCCCATTTTCGGAATGTTGACCACTGTCAGAAGGCAACAGAATTTTTTTCCCAAAATCAGGCGAAAATTAATGCGCGCGCTGATGTCATCCATAAAAATTACCTGCTGATGGCCTAAAGAGAACAGGTGTACAGATTTACATGATCATATGAGCAAAGTTGTGAAAATGAATACTAGTATGCAACCTGTAACGTTATGTTTTTTTTTCATTTCGTGCTATTGTTTTTAATTTTCCTTGGTGTAATTTCGTTGTTTGAGGAAAGAACGATGACATAACATGTGGAAAGAACAAATCAACATCTGTGAAGGAATGACCTCTTCAATTCAGAGTTCAGAGAGAGATTGTAGACTTGCTGTGGTAAAATAAAAAGTTGATAAAGTTAACCTTTATCTGTGATTCTTTAATACTACCAGCAATACGAGTATTGCACATAAATTCGTGCTGAAATTTAAAATGAAGCAGTAAAAGATGCCATTGGCCCCAGGCTAGCATCCAGACTATTTAGTGAAACTCAAATTCAATTTGTTATCACACGTTACAGTATAAAGCGACACCTTCCGGTTTATACAGAATTGCAAGAGCAAACGCAAGGCGTGATCAGGATTCCGGCTTGTACCGGTCGGGACAAACAGTCTGCTGACATAAAAATAGAGAGACTGAAATATGATTAGTACTGAACTTCTTACACTTCACTCCTTTCGAACACTGACTGATTATGATTTAAGTATTCTTTTTGTTATTTGCTTGATTTGTACAATATGGTTTATTACTACTATGTTCAAGTACTTTATTATTTATGATCTACTATTCCTAAGTTTGAATTATTTGGAGCTTGACCTCTGACATCTCACCTCTGACTGCTGACTGATCTTGTATTTTGATTTATGATTTCTCTGTTACGCTTCAATTATTATTATTTTATGTTATATTATTCCATGGGCTCCCTTGGAAATCAGCCCCAAGAGGCTGAAGGGACCACCCATGTGTCTTTAAAATAAATAAATAAATACATGTAAATGGCCTTGAACGGCCTAGCCTGGCTGCAGCCGAAAATTGTGACATGAACTCTCACCCAGGGCTATAACATAGCTGATAGAAGCTCTTTATCCCCCTAAAAATCTATGAGAAAAACCAGGAAAGGGAATATCTAGCTTAATATCGCTAAATATATCTATGAACAATAGCAGTGGCAGGTGTGTAGATCTATATAGACCTAGGCTGGACACACAGTCCCATACAATAGTCTAACAACAGGAAGAGACGCAGTCCCAACCCTGACCTTTGCCTACCCAATTGCAACACCTACCCACATACCAAATATCATCAATCAATCAACAATCCATCCAAAGGTTCAAAAGTTATGCTGGCCGCAAATGTTTGGAAACACAAACACACAGACAAACAGACAGACACATAGACACACAGACAGACGCGCCAAAAACAATACCTCCATCTTTCATGAAGATGATAAAAAAGAAAAAGTTCGATCTGCGCATGCCTACTAGGCCACAGCAAGTAAGTTTTATAGATGACATCAGCGCGCGCATTAATTTTCGCCTGATTTTGGAGAAAAAAAAAGAAATTTTGTTACCCTCTGACAGTGGTCACCATGCCTAAAATGGGCAAAGATGTCTGTTGCCATGCCGGAAGGTGGATGGCAGATAACTATAAAGTGAGGAGACAAGAAAAGGCTCTGACTTAATGTTTGATTTCTTACTTTGATGCAGTGAAATGTGATGTTCCCACTGAATCAAAACCATTTGTACAATGATTGAGTCAAAATTTTAAAATGTAGGAACCTTGTTTTTTTCGTCCCACCTTGTTTTTTTTTCGCCCGCTCGCAGTCGGAGTCTGCGAAGGATGTCATCCATAAAATTGACTTGCTGTGGCCTTACGCAGACACAGGCGGTTTGTTTCCGTGCTGGTCGGACCGGTTCAAATTATGCAGTCGGTGTAATTATGGTCAACCGATCTTTCACATGGGAACCTGCAACATGAGCGGTATGTTGTTATTTCTATTCACATTCTTAACCCCTTAACCCTAGTTCTACAGTCATATCCTAACAGCATGTGCGCACGTTTTGCTGTTGTTTTGTACATGATAAGAATTCTAACATAAGTACTAGTTGCGTTGTACGCACTTTTGCTCGCTCCTTGTAGATGTTAGACATCCATGTAGTGATGATAGTAATTAAGGCAGTTGTCTTGTAGAGTATTTGGTTTGTTTTGCCAGTCTTATGTGTTCATCTTGTTTCAAAAATGCATTCTGTTGTAAAATTTCTTTACTCGAAGCTTGTGCGCCAAATGTGGTAATTTGCATTAAGAATGATGGACGTGCGTTAAAAACCTCTTGTAAAAAATCCGACTTATTTTTCAATCACACTAGAAGTAAACCAACAGGAAATATCTCATGATACTTGTTAAAGTTTTTGTCACACATATCCGAATGCGTCCTCCCGAACACTGGCGAGCTAACCAAAACCATGGTTGGGAGTAGGTCGGGAGTAAGGTCGGCTGTGGTCGGCTGGTGTTCGGCGAGGTTGGCTACTACAGTTGGGCTACGCCAGCCGAATGTTTCAAAATGTAAACATTCGGGAGTAGTGGAAGGAAGGTTCGGCTATGGTTGGCTGGTGATTGGCTGATGTTCGGGAGTAGGTCGGCAGTGTTAGGGATGTGTTCATGGGGCAGATTTCACTCAAATTTCACTCAAATTTGATTTGAATAAAAAGGTTGGTGTGGCCTAAATCTTGACAGAATGCTCCCGAACTTCAGCCAACCTTGGTTGGATAGCGGTTGGGAGAAAGTTCTGATTGTACAACAGGTGCTTGGCGCAGAAATTGAGCTAAAATAACGCTGATATGTAGGTATTGAAGAAGAAGAAGACTGTTTTGACCCACTGACCTTAAATTCATCTTTAACCTGATTTTATATGTTTGAAATCTTTCATGTATTTTTACCTCTCACAGTTACGTGGATTGCTAAATGTAATTAATACACGTAGCCACATCATTCATCTATCCATCCAGCCGTGCCATTCGACTATCAGCTAGATCAGTGTATTCGAATGAATTGTTTCAAAGTACAACATGCGTATGTGCTCGTAGAATTTAACGTCTACAACATATATGTCACACAGAGTAATTTATGGAGTACTAGTTGTAATGTAGGTCATATCTGTATATATTTGTTGGTCTTTCTTCTTTAAGATCTAAAGTTGAAAAATACAGATACCGTCCATTGGTACTGTTTGATTTTTTTAAAGCAATTTAAGGTAGTAATATTTCTGTCCCCTGGGTCTTGATGGCAGTACTAATCGCCAAAGGCGGTAAACGCATTGGGATTTGTGAAAGCAATTATTACATACCGAAAGTTATGAAACAAGTTTTCACGTAGCAAATATTACGATAAATTGATAATGAGAACATCCGATTAGTACTGAGTTCCCAGTTTGTTGTAGAGCAGATTGAACTAACTGTGAGAATTTAGAGCAGACTTCCACAGCAAGTATATTTTATGGATCACGTCCTCCGCAGACTGTAAATCTAATGCGAGCGGGCGAAAAAAAACAAGGCGAGCCGAAAAAACAAGGTTCCTTAATTTTAAAATTTTGAGTCAATCATTGTACAAATGGTTTTGATTCAGTGGGAACATCACATATACACAGCCAGCATCACATATCACTGAATCAAAGAAACAAAACATTACATCAGAGCCTTTTCTTGTCTCCTCTCTTTATAGTTATCTACCATCCACCTTCTGGCATGGCAAGTCATCTTTACCCATTTTCGTCATGGTGACCACTGTCAGAAGGCAACAAAATTCCTTTTTTTTTCCCAAAATCAGGCGAAAATTAATGCGCGCGCTGATGTCATCCATAAAAATTACTTGCTGTGGCCTAACGTACAAATTTGAAATGTTTAACTGACGTAACCTACGCAAAGGCCGTTAATAATGACATGTTTCGCGTATGAACTATAGGACTTAAGTCAGACTGTCACAAACACATCTTACAATTGTAATGCTTGAACAAAAACATAATTTATCACTTGGGCTAGTCGCAGGTGTTTCAGCACAGAAAACCGGTTTTTGGCCACACAGGGGTCCATTCGCTTCCCAGTCGCGGCTGGTTGCATCTGGGCTTCGTTGTGATAGTTGATAGGAAATGACGGGTACAAAGGTTAGGCCACAGCAAGTAAATTTTATGGATGACATCAATGTGCGCATTAATTTTCGCCTGATTTTGAAAAAAGAAAACAAGAAATTTTGTTGCCTTCTGACAGTGGTCAACATGTCGAAAATGGGCAAAGATGTCTGTTGCCATGCCGGAAGGTGGATGACAGATAACTATAAAGAGAGGAAACAAGAAAAGGCTCTGATTTAATGTTTTGTCTTTGATGCAGTGATATGTGATGCTGGCTGTGTGTATGTGATGTTCCCACTGAATCAAAAACATTTGTACAATGATTGAGTCAAAATTTTCAAAATGTAGGAACCTTGCGTTTTTCGTCCCGCCTTGTTTTTTTTCGCCCGCTCGCATTAGATTTGGAGTTTGCGGAGGATGTCATCCATAAAATTTACTTTCTGTGGCCTTAGGGCCCTGTCACACTTTTGCGAATAGCCATTGCGTTTGAATTGCGTACAGGCATTTCTTCCGTAGGCACAATACGTAACGTTACTGTAACGCACTTGTAGCGTATAAATAACGAATTCAGCGAATAGATTGCATTTGACATCCGTATGGCGTTCACATGCATTGCGAAGACCAAACGTATTCAGGACGCACTCAACGTATTCCCACCGGATGCCTAACGCACTTCCGACGAATGCCAAGCGTCTTGTGTGCGTATTCCCTGATGCTTCTTGCTGTTTAATTTGCAGCGAATCATTCATGGGCCGCCCTCAACTCAGTTAAAATGTGTTTGTTTCTATTTCGCCCCAGCCCTGGTCAATTTCCTGTAATATATTGTCAGGTAAATTAAATCCCCGTACCCGGACTTTATACAAACAAAAAAGTTAGGCTGTTAATAGCCTTGATGAATTGGAGATGTCAAGAAATGCCCTCTCTTAATAATTTGAAAACAATGAAAACACCCATACTTGCAATACATACAATTTACGATTTCGCTTACACACAGATAGCATGGACACTACACATCTCTGCAAACAATACAATTTACCGACACAAAAACAGGCAACTGGCGCATTATTCCAAAGTACAGGCAACAAAAAGCAAATATTTATGTTAAATTTACATATATTGATGCAGTATGGATATGGAGGCGGTACAAGGGTGTTCTTTTGTGTTAAAAAGTGTCAAAATGCATTTTTGTAAAACATATTGCACCCTAGGAAAGACGTTTTCCCAATAATCATCTACTTTTCAGCAAAACATATTAGAAAGAGCCAATCTTAACATAGTAATCAACTCATTTGATTTGTCACATCTTGCGTAAAATGCTCCAGGAGGTCTGTTAACCATGGGTTCTAGAGGAGCCGGTACCCCGGGTGTAGCCCAGGTGTTCGGCAAGTTTGCTATCTAGATCGGTACGCAACTTTTGCGCTTCTAATTAGTTATAAATACGTACAATGCGCTGTCCTGTTGCAATACGAACGGTACTAAAGCGCTGTAAGTACGCAATGCATTCGTCCATTGTACGCAGCTTATGCACAGGTGCAGTTCCAGGTGCAGACCAGCGTATGGGCCGCGTGTCCCCCACGAACACATAGCGTACTCATACCGTGTTTGACCGATGCATTACATATTAAAAACGCATGAACTGCGTAACAGCGTACGCAGCGTAGTTTTGGGCATGCTCAAAACTACGCTGCGTACTGAGCCGGGCGGTGCGTGCGCTGTGCGCATGCCGGCGTTCACAAAACTTACACAAAACGACTGAGATGCATATGAAGTGCGCAGTTTGCGTACAGCTGCGTATGAAAAAATTGCCCGTACGCAACCCATACGCAAGTCTATTCGCAGAAGTGTGACAGGGCCCTTACTGGTAATTCTGCTGTAAATAACCACCTCTGAACAGAAGTGTGTTGTACGTTTCTCATTAGTTGAGCCAGTGTATTAAAGGCATCCAATGTAATTTCAGGGCGGCAAACTGGGTTTTCAAATTCAATTTTCTGGTCATATATAACATAATATAGTACGTTGAATCCCTATCCCATAGCATACTAATGTACGTGTCCTTTCTGTAGTACTGGAAAGATACGTTTTCTTAACTTTAGCGGTGACAAAATTTCAGTAGACTTTATACGAAGTCGTAAAGTCCACTGAAATATTTTCTCACCTTTAATACGTCTTTACATATTGCGGAAAGTTTGCTTAAATATCTGCTTTCGTGCTGTGCAAAAAAATCGATGTTGCTGACGGAAAACGGTTGCTTGTTTTGTATCTTAGGCTGCTTGTAGCTATTTATGGGTGGTACTAAAAAAGAGACGCTTCATGTAGCTTTGGGGCTATTTCAAAACAAAGGTGTGAAATGATGACGAAAATGTGCTACGAAATGGCAGTAAATGTTAACATCAGACAGATTTTCTAATCCAATCCAGAATATTTTTATTTTGCCACCCTGTTACCCTTAACTCGAATCCATCAAATTTAACTGTACAAGCAAAAGATATACTTGAAGATCACTGCTTTCAGCATTCTTGACTATGAAACTATGAAAAACCCAAGAAGGAATACATTATTGCAGTAATCTACCAAAAGACAATTTGTCTAAAACTATTGCCTACTTGTCTATACCGTACAAGCTGTGACATATAGCCAGAGGCATTACGATTATTCAGATAAAAGGTGTGAATTAAAACATGCACCACTTCATTAAGAACACTAGCCCCAGTCAAAATCATTACTCTCAACAGACACTTGTGTTTTTTCGTCTGTCTTATACGCTCTAGGTAATCGTTAGTGTGATGCAGCGGCCCCGATAGAGCTGCGAAATCTGGAAACAAGATGGCGTCTGTTAACAAGATGGCGTCTGTTAACAAGATGGCGTCTGTTGTGTTGACAGTTTTCCTACTTGTTTACGCCACACACGTCATAGTGGGTGAGTGCTTGGATCAATTATTTCTATTCACACTATACTATACTATCTTGACAATTTATCTGTTATCAATTTTATATGTATTCATGTGTATTTGTGAAAATGTGTATTCATGTGATGATGATTGACCTAATTTCGTTCCTATTTGCTTCCCTGGTTATATAAATATTATATGATATGAATCTTTATTGCATGTTCTTGCCCAGATGGGCTAAATGCACAGTAGGACATGCAGTATGCAAAAACATGAGTATTTCATACTGAAACGCTATGTTCTAATGCAAAGTGCTAAAAATCTATACATTACAACAATACTATATACTACCTATCATCTACTGTTAGTTGCCCTTTCTTCTCTCTTTTTAAAACATTTGGAAACATAATTACATAGTTTGTCTACTGTACATTCGTTCTTGCATGATATCAAGTGTTTAAACATGCTTGCTTTGACATTTTCTTACATATCATTATAATGACTAAGCTATAGTGTACATCTAAGGATGCGAATTAAGTAGCTACTAACGGAAGTCTACACAGATTTTTACATAGAAACGTTTAACTTTAAAACGTAAACTAACGTGCTCTGCTTCAATAATGGGCTTCAATAAGTTTGCAGTTATCAGTATTAACCATTTTCTCACAAATCCTGCCTCCCATATGCATAGGCCAAGAAATAGTCAAAGACTACATGATCATTGAACCCGAATTCAAAGTGGTACCAAAAAATACCATCTTCAACGCCGAGCTGGGGATGAACTACACGAAGTTCAGCTGCCGAGCCAAAGGTATCCCCGACCCGCAGTACATGTGGCTCCAGGACGGCATCCAGTTGGACCTCACCACCGATCCAGAAAAATATGTGCTGGTGAGCATCGATACCGGTTAGGCCTGATTGATTGATTGATTGATTGATTGATTGATTGATTGGTTTATCGATTGATCGATTGATCGATTGATCGATTGATCGATCTTAAAACGGTTTAATGTGGTTGCCTGTTTGGTTTCATGTTTATATTCATGGTTATATGAATGGCCAAAAAACATTTTGGTCATACTATAAATCGTACAAAGCAGCTGCAAAACAGTTGCTCATGCAAGAGGATATCAGTCGACGTTTCAGGTAGCGTCCACTACCTTTCGTCAGTTAGGTATACGTAGTGGTGGCTACCTGAAAGGTCTAGCCGTTCCTAAAATCATATTATGTTTCCTTTAGTAACTTTTTTTCGGCGTGTCTTAGTACCTAGATGTCTAACCTTCATCGACGTATCAACTGCCATAGATGTACATTGGCACCAACATATATTCTGTCCCTATGATATTGAAGACGAACATTTTATTATAGATTGTCCACTATATAACGACAAACACACAAAGCTATCCAACCTTCTCTCCACTTGCTCAACAGAATTATTTTTACATTTCATGCTATAGATAAATTTAATTTCATCCTAGAAGGTAAATAACCCTTACAGTGTACAAATAGATAAATATATCAAAGAATGCTTAGACCTTAGAACAAGTAGTATACGTTGATTCATTTATTGTCTTGTATGTAGGATAATTTTGTTGTACCCACGTATCTGTCTGTATGTCTACATGTAGCTTTGGACCTTACAAAAGTCGCTGTACTTTTGTTTATTTGTTTATTTGTCTGAGTTAACCACCAGATATACTTGTAAGTGAAAGGGAGGACAAAACAGGTGCATTGACACCTTTACAAGTCGTCCTCCCAACATTGTTTTGTTGTGTCAATAAAGTTTTGTATATTAACTTCTACTTTCAGACCGGTGGTGATTTGTACATCTACAGCCCCACATTGGGACGCGACGATTCGACTTACCAATGTGTCGCCTACAACAGCGCAGGCGCAGAGTTGTCGCCAGGAGGGGTACTGACGTTTGCATGTGAGTGTCGATACTTTTGGGGAATTTTTTTTGTTTATTTTTTTTGGACATACACAAAAAAAAGGAATATAGGAAGTAAACTATCAAATATAAGAAAATAAATAACCTATACAGAATAAAATGTGCTGGAGGGAGAAAAAAGCAATAGGGGCTGTACTACTCACCTCCATGGAGCTAGCTCCATGGAGCTAGCTCCATGGAGGTAAGTACTTCAGCCCTGAGGCAGATTTTTTTCCAGCTCCATGGAGCTAGCTCTACGCACTATGAATGCATATGCCTGGTTCACGTCACCTTCAAGAAAATTCATATACATGGTTCACGTCACTTCAAGAAAACAAACCAGCACTATAAATGTCTTGAGAAATAAACAGCCCCGTGCACAAAGAACACGCATGGTTCACGTCACTTACAATGAAGAAATCATGCTCTAGAATATATCGTGTTTAAACTTGATACGGCCCCACGCACTGAGAACGATACATGTACACACAGTGACGGTCTTCTCAGAGGCTGTTTTGCCCACAGAGCTAGCTCCACGCACTTTGAATGCATATACATGTTTCACGTCACCTTCAAGATAAATACATAAACGTGCTTCGCGTTGCCTTCAAAAAATACCACGCTCCAGAAAATGGTTAGATCGGTGTATTGTCATTTGCAAATCTTGGATAATATGTTTGGTGGTGTTCTATGCAGCCCCACACACTGAGAACGATACATGTACACACAGTGCCGGTCTTCTCAGAGGCTGTTTTGATAGCTCCACGCACTTTGAATGCATATACATGTTTCACGTCACCTTCAAGATAAATACATAAACGTGCTTCGCGTTGCCTTCAAAAAATACCACGCTCCAGAAAATGGTTAGATCGGTGTATTGTTATTTGTAAATCTTGGATAATCGTGTTTGGTGGTGTTCTATGCGGCCCCACACACTGAGAACGATACATGTACACACAGTGCCGGTCTTCTCAGAGGCTGTTTAACTAGCTCCACGCACTTTGAATGCATATACATGTTTCACGTCACCTTCAAGATAAATACATAAACGCGCTTCCCGTTCCTTAAAAAAATACCACGCTCCAGAAAATGGTTAGATCGGTGTATTGTCATTTGCAAATCTTGGATAATCGTGTTTGGTGGTGTTCTATGCGGCCCCACGTACTGAGAACGATACATGGCATGTACACACAGTGCCGGTCTTCTCAGAGGCTGTTTTGCTGGCTCCACGCACTTTGAATGCATATACATGTTTCACGTCACCTTCAAGATAAACACATAAACGTGCTTCGCGTTGCCTTCAAAAAATACCACGCTCCAGAAAATGGTTAGATCGGTGTATTGTCATTTGCAAATCTTGGATAATCGTGTTTGGTGGTGTTCTATGCGGCCCCACACACTGAGAACGATACATGTACACACAGTGCCGGTCTTCTCAGAGGCTGTTTTGCCCACAGAGCTAGCTCCACGCACTTTGAATGCATATACATGTTTCACGTCACCTTCAAGATAAATACATAAACGTGCTTCCCGTTGCCTTCCAAAAAATACCACGCTCCAGAAAATGGTACAGAAAATTGTTTGCATCGGTTTACTAGTATTGGTATTTATAAATCTTGGATGATCGTGTTTGATACTAGTTATGTTACGGCAAGGCTGTCCTTGTGTATTGATTGACTTATATACACTATACTAAATTTTGTGACGCAAACCATGTGTTGGAATTCATACTGCGTTTATTTGAGCTCTCCAGTTTAAAAGTTGTCGGGACCTCATCCTGACCACGATATCGATGTCACCTAATGACCTATGTCAACGATTGGTACAGAGATGCGATTTTCTGCAATCTATCGTGGCTCAGCTTGCGAACAATGGTGGTGTTCATTTTAGAACTGACAATACGATAATACAATAAGAAAACATGATATCAAAAGAAAAAAGCCCGGTTGAGGCCATTGACATTGTGAAATATAGAATTTTCAGTATTCACGGCGTTGGTTTCTATTACGCCTTCTTTAGTTGACAAATAATGAACGGTCCCCGGGCCAACAAACAAAGGGGACAAGCGACAGATAATGAACGGTCCTCGGGCCCAAAAACAAAGGGGACAAGCGACACTAATTAATAACAGGCTATTTTCACTGTTTGTCTTTAGTAGGGAATTCATTTAAGTGTAAAGGCGGGATTTGAGCTCTGCTAAATCAAGGAGGTTATCCCTTTGGCCGAGGAGGTTTAACTTCATTGTTTTGGCTAAATCCCGACAACGAAAGCAATACGTCACCTAATGACATTTGTCAACTGCTTAGGGTCGATTGGCACGGAAGTGCTAATTCCTTCACTCCTTTCGTGTCTTCTTCTTCTTCTGTCTCTGCTTGCATTGTTCGTTTCTTATATCAAAACAGGATATCGAAAAAGGGGGGAATTTCCACTGTTCACAGCGTTATTCTGTATTCATTTTTTTTCAGTTACAAACGGACACATATTATTAAAGTGTAAAAACCTTTGTCTAGACGGACACAATTAGAGTTGTTTACGACCTTCCTGTCATAAAATAATCTGTTAAAACATCTCTTTTGTATCCTTTATTCACCGTATTTCACACGCACATGGTGACGCGGTTTTTGATATTGACAACGCGAAGAACACGATGCAGCTACAGGCCGGATGGGTATCGGAAAAGATGGAGCTACCAAAAACAATGCCTCAGGGCTGTACTACTCACCTCCATGGAGCTGGCTCTATAGAGGTCAATTTCATTTTCTTGAAGGTGACGTGAACCACGTAAATGCATTCATAGTGCATGGAGCCAGCTCCATGGAGCTAGCTCCATGGAGATCAATTTTTTAAGGTGACGTGAACCATGTGTATGCTTTCATAGTGCATGGAGCGAGCTTTATAGAGGCCAACTTTTCTTCGAGTTGACGTGAACCGTGTATATGCATTAACAGTGCACAGAGCTAGCTCCATGGAGCTGGAAAAAAAATCTGCCGCAAGGCTGTACTACTCACCTCCATGGAGCTGGCTCTATAGAGGCCATGCCATTTTTTCTTGAAGGTGACGTGAACCATGTATATGCATTCATAGCGCGTAGAGCTATCTCCATAGAGGCGATTAGTACAGCCGCAGGGCTGTACTACTCACCTCCATGGAGCTGGCTCTATAGAGGCCATGCCATTTTTTCTTGAAGGTGACGTGAACCATGTATATGCATTCATAGCGCGTAGAGCTATCTCCATAGAGGCGATTAGTACAGCCCCTATTGTTTTTTTCTGTTTTTTCTTGAAGGTGACGTGAACCATGTATATGCATTTTTCTTGAAGGTGACGTGAACCACGTATATGCATTTATAGTGCGTAGAGCTAGCTCCATGGAGCTGGAAATTGATCTGCCGCAGGGCTGTACTACTCACCTCCATGGAGCTAGCTCCATGGAGCTAGCTCCATGGAGGTAAGTACTACAGCCCCTTCTCGAAAAAAGTCATAAGGCTTGTTTGAGTCCCTCCCATTACAATAAAGAAAATAATTGATAACAATAGCACTAATAAAGGAAAATAACATGACTGCTGTGATAATAATTCTAGCCTCGACACATTGGTTATGTTATTGTAATTTTGTACCCAGAACCGTGCTTTATCCAGAACCATGCGCAGGAACGGTTCTGGATAGTCCACGTGTATCCAGAACCGTGTATAGGGTAAAAACAATGTTCTTGGATACGCGGAGACATTCCAGAACCAGGCTTATCCAAAATAATGCATGGATGGGTTACGGTTACATTTAGTACTAAAGGACCAGGCACGGTTCTGGATAGTTTACTCGTATCCAAAGAAGTAGATTTTCCGCCCTAGACAAGGAAGACCTGTATCCACATTTTCCGAATACTAGTAGTTTCTTATGCGTAAAGCGTTGTTGAAGTATTCGTGTCGCTGCAATGTTAACAAACTAAAACTAAAACTGTGTCTGTGATATTCGTAGTCGTCAAGTCCTTCGATATGACGCCGCGTGACGCAAAGAACGTGGACGAGGGACAGGGGTTTTCTATTTCCTGTAATCCGCCAGACAACTACCCAGGTAAAAACTTTTAACTGATTCTTTTACTCTTTTAATGCTGAGGTCGCATTTCCAAACCGGGCCCCGGCCGGGCAGTCTTATGGAACGAAAAGTATGATTTAATAGACAACAAATCACAAACTAGTTTTAAAAATTGAATGAATGAATGAATGACTTTATTTCAGGAAAAAACCCATAGTACAGACAAGGACCACATAGACACTAAACACACAACATTCTATATACATTTTTAAAATACGTGTTCCTGAATTAATGATAGGACCTATATTTCCGTGTATTCTTGATATAACATGTTGATTTTTCGTTGATTGAAACAGCCCGGCCGGGCCCCGGCTTGGAAATGTGACCGTGCCCGGCCTTACCCGGGTCCCAAAAGGTGTCTCCCGGCTTAGTAGATCACATTGGGTTGTTCTATGGTTGGGTGTTCAGTGAAAACCAGACGTAATGTGGAGAAGAACTGGCCAAATGAAACAAGAAGTGGCGTGATTCTTTATCCCACATAACTAACTGCCAATAGACTATCAAAATACCTCTTTTCCGTTAGAAAGAGTTCGTGATTCAATTACAAGCACTGTGTATCTAAGTCAAAGTGACGCTGCACTCTTGTGCAAATCATTGTGCTATTCCCATTTTGGCCAGGTTTTTAAAAAGCATTTCTTTTTTATTTGTATATTGCCTTTATCATTGCTACGATTTGTGCAATTTTTAATCGTTACCTGTACAGGACTGACCTACACCTGGTACAAAGACACGCCTGCGCAAAGAGTACCGCCAGACGAGCGAATCTTCATCTCCTACCAAACGGGGAATCTTTTCATCAAGGTTACTTCCTTTCTCCATTTTATCATTCAAAGGACATATTATTATAAAACTAGAAAGGTAACATTTGCCAGGAAAATGCATAATGTTTACCTTCGCATATGGTCTGCTCTGTTAGTTCTTACTCAAACACATTCATATATGATGACAGCAGCCTAAATCCCTCCTGGCGCATCCTGTTATGAAATTACAACATGATGTAACCAAACACTAGTCACCATGGCAACAGACACAACATTGGTTAAGGTCAGAGGTCACTGTTTGGAGAAGAAGAAGAATATGAAGAAACTGAGAAAAAACAATATGATGAAAGTTACTTATATCTATTGCGCATGCTGGTTGCTGCCAAATTAAACGAGATACTAAAAAGAAGGTTTAAAACTGATACACATGACTTATGATTCAAACAAAGACAAACTTTCAGACAGTATCCGCCATCTTTGTTCGGCTACCAAAACAAGGGCAGTTACGTGACCAAGAGGTTAAAAGGTCAACACATGTCACGTGGCTGAACGAGATGCTCATGGTCTTTCATGGTCGATTAATTGATAATAGATTCTGTGTGTCCAGCAGTGTTTTTGTTCTTACTTTGTCATCCTCAACTAAAGGGAAGCAAGTGGCTACTAGTGCAATGCAACTTCGCTACGTATACAGCTCTCGTATTTAGCCAAGCACATTGGGTCACCCCTAGTCCTCTCCTCCTACTTTCAACAAGACTGGCAATGAAAACATACATTGCCATGGCGACGGTGGTTGCTGTTAGGGTTATTGTTTGCATGGCACTGCCACCATTTTATGACTTTGAGGAAGACTTGGTTCCTGTTAAGTCTAGACAGGTACAGTGCAATCCTCCCCTAAGTGTATAGTGAACGAGCCCGGGGGTCACAGAAAGTAGGGCCATCCGGGGAAGAGAGGGTTTCCAGGAATGTGGGCATAAATGTGGGTCAGAGACATGCCATTCCTGTGGACAAAGTGCCTGTACCATTCCTAGAATTCTTGCAAACTGCACACAATACTGTACCATTAGACTCCTCCCTGAGACGTCGCCAAAAAGCGCGTTTGTTTCTTTCTTTTCCACAGAACGCCATCGCGGCGGATTCCGGTGACTACTACTGTCTGGTACAGAACATCATGATTCAGGTACCGAACACAGGCAGTATAGCAGACAGGTCAAGCCCTCCTACTACTGTGAAAGTCAGAGCTGGACGTAAGTTTACACAATTAATGTACCTGCCTAGTACTAGTGCGGAATATGCTGATCAATATCAGTGTGCGCAATCGTTATAATTATTATAAATCGTTAGCATATATCTTACAATATAAATAGCTTGCTTTATGTAGAACCTTGAACCGTGAACGAGAACATCATGGATTTAGACATCATATTTTTTATAGATTGACTGTCTTGACCGCCTTGATATATGTACATTCTACCTTGCGCACTTTTTTTTATTTACTTCAGATTCACCTCAAAACAAGGCTCATGTTTTGGGTTACAGTGATGACTGCGTGGTCAGATATTTGTTCACCCTTGATTTAAACCGTTGGAGGTTGTAATTAGCGGTGAAACATTCACGGGGAAGCTTGTTCCACAGTGAAGTGGTTCTGGGGAAGAAACTGTCAGCATGAAATTTTCTCTTGACTGATGGACTATTGTGGAAGAAAGGGTGATTTTCTGCAGAGAATTGCAGAGAATTTCTGAGTGGGGGTACAAGGGAGTGAAGTTCAGCAGAGCATCTGCCGTGGAAATATCGATATAGTAACGCCAGGCCCTATCATTTTGGACCCTATCTATTTAGTAAACAGCTCAACGAGCTCTGTGCAGCTCCAGCCCAGATGTGACTTTTGCATCATAGTCTTTGTTCCGTATAATGCGTGTGCTTGTTTGTTTGTTTGTTTGTTTGTTTGTTTGTTTGAACCATTCTTTATCCATGAGAAACTCAAATTGGCCTGCAAGCTGCATTTCATTTAGGTCACGAGGGAAGGAGTAAGGGTAAACAAAATATGTCAAAAAGAGTCATTATGAAGCAAGTTTAAATTGTATTTAATCATATTCATGTCCTTTCAAACCCCCACAGCCGCTCTGGATGCGGCCCCAACAATAGTCTGGAGTGAGAAGGTAGAGGTAGTGGAAGGCGGGGATGCGTTCATAGAATGTTTCGACTTCTCATAGTAAGTCTTAGTTTATATTGTATGGATTGATGAGTACGTGTCTAACCAAATTTAATTTCTGTTTGTGTACAATAATCAAATCATGAAATATCTTATCAATTCGCCAACCTTTGCTAAGAATGACGCTGCTTTTTAAGAACTATGGAGCATTTTGGTTTGTCTAAGTGATATAATTTTTATTCATATAGCAAAGAAATTCATATTCCCCATGCAACCAGATAAACCATGTATTGTAAGCTTCATCTGTTCTTACACCTACAACTGTCTTCAAAAGCGAGAAGAAAGTGAACCTCTACATTCATGTATTAGTAACAACATACCAGACTTCTATCACTGATTGTAGAAAGAACTTTATCATCATGACCGGTATTTAGCTTATAAGGGCATAAATGTCTTTTTATGAATAAATAGATCTTTCCTTCCTTCCTTCCTTCCTTCCTTCCCTGCTGCCTCCTTCCTTCCCTCCTTCCCTCCCTCCTTCTTTCCTTCCTTCCTCCCTTCCTTCCTCCCTCCCTTCCTTCCTTCCCTCCTTCCCTCCTTCCTTCCTCCTTCCTTCCTTCCCTCCTTCTCTTCTTCCTTCCTTCCTTCCTTCCTTCCTTCCTTCACCCAACAGCCCGAGCTCGAACCAGGTTTGGAAGAGAATCGACCCCGGCTCAAACCAGGAGATCCCCCTACCGAGGAGCGCCCGGTATGACAGTTTCGGTCACGTGCTGCTGATCCTGAAGATCAAGCCTGAAGAGGGCGGGACGTACCGGTGTGTCGCCGACAACAGACACGGGGCCAGCACCAAGGACATCGAGGTGGTAGTAAAAAGTACGTCTACCCTTCAAAATGTATACAAAGAGCAATGACAATGATGAGATAGGGCTAAGCGCAGTACATGTAGTTTCACATGACTCGTATGGACACTAAAATTCTACAGAGGTGTTACACTACACTACAATGCATACAGATGGATAAACATATAAAGCTATCATTGATATAGTTTACGTGTTTCTTACCTAGTTTTAAAACAGGTATATAAGAGTTTTTGTAGTGCAGTATTAGTAGAGGATGTCATTATGTACATAAATAGATCGTGTGTCTAAATTCAGGGCACCTTTAAAAGAATTACGTATATCCCTAATCCCAAATGAATTTCATGTTCTACCCGGTTGGAGTCACAAAGTGTCCCCAGTCTGTCGTTCGGAGGAGTCCGGTTGTGTCTTCTTAATTCAACATAAAACAATTATGATTGACGTAAAGTCGTTGGATATCCTGTTTTATATCTTTCCACAATATGTACCATTTTACAGCAAAATAGATAAGATGAAATTCACGTTTTAAACATTTTTTTACTAAACAGAAAACTGGGATAATGGAATTTTCTCATAAACAACCAGTGATTCCCTCGCATTGCCTACGTTTCGATGTCTATCAGACACCTTCCTCAGAGCATCTAACTGGAGCTCTGCTTCTTACCGCTATATATACATGTAGCCAATGTAGGTGTCACTCTTATACAATCCAAAATGTGACATCGAAACGTCAGCAATCCAAGAGTTGTGCATTAGAAAATTCCAGTACATAAGCCCTACCAACATGATAAAATAACTTTCAGTGAACGAGAAACTGTTTCTTACCTTTTTTTAGTGGAATGGTTTATTCAGAAACTTAAAACTCAAACATATATACACAATACACTCAACAGACTACAGACTCGCAAGCAACCTTACTGGATGCCTGAATTGCTCTGTGTTTAACACAAAATATCGTTAAAATATCCAGTTTAAAGGTATAATTGTTAAAACATTATTGATTACACATTGCTAAAATCAATTATAAATATTCCTCTGCTTTAGACATTACGCAGTTCCGGAGTTGTAATTAGTTTGACAGTTATTATGCATATTTCAAATATTCATATTGCAAAAACTTTTTGCAGTTTTGCCGAAGCTGAAGCCCCTGCCGGCCATACAGTCGATCGTGCCTGGTGGCAGTATAACCTGGGAGTGTGAGGTCGATAGAGGAACACCTCCTATAGCCTTCACATGGTTCGCCGACAGCGATCCTCTACAAACACAACCTGACAATAAATTCGTCGTCACAGGAGCCACACTAACTATCAATGATCTAGACATCACAGACGAAGGAAGGTAAATGTTTTGTAGATAGAAAACATCATTTTACTTGATTCCTTTTCTTTCTTTATGTCAATGAAAGGATAACGTTTTGATCTTGTTATTGTGCTTTCATTATACGTTGTTGGTAGGTTTGGGTCGTGAATACGAAGGTCAAGTTCGATATGGGCATTCAAGCTGCTTTTAATCGACCACGTATGTTTAATACACCTGCTCCATTATGTAAAGATAATCTCGTCTTTAATAACAATATTTTACAGATACCAGTGCCTGGCTATAAGTGAATATGGTGTTGACCACACGTCGACTCTTCTGGAACTATCTAGTAAGTCTGTAGCTTTACTGTCTTGTAATACCATGTCATTGTCATTGTAATAAGTTTGTAGTTTTCCGGCCATAGCGGGTACAATGTTCCTGCAAATTGGACCCTCTTTGGTCGGCTAACTCTCCTGGGCAGTTACATTCTTTTTAGGCCGATTTCTACTATTTATCCAGCCTGAAAAGGGGTCTGCTGGTGGTAGCCTGCGTACCATCCTGGTTAGCTTACGCCCGCTCCCACAGTCGCTACCGACCAACCAGCGACAGTGGGAGCGGACGTAAACTAACCAGGATCCGGATGGTACCCAGGCTAATCTGGTGGAAGCTTGTTTTTAATTCAGTTCGTTGAACTGCGACAGACCAATAAAGCCATCTTGTATCTTTGTGTACCAGGTCCCAAGATCCGGGCGAAGATCGCGACCCAGCTGGCCCCCCGCGGGACAGACTACGAGGTGTACGTGCGGTGGGAGTGCTCCCCGGTACCGACAGTGGAGTGGACCAACGAGCGGGGGGACGTCATCGCTACCAGAGACCTAACTACTGGCGCTGTGGTGGTGAAGTCGGCAAAGTACGTCACCTCAAATGTCATTGTCTTCGTCAGAAAGACTATGGAATTGTCTCGCCGTATTGTGCCGTATTGTGAATAACTTCTGAAGGCATGATTCGACGTCCATGATTTTTGGCAGGCAGATTACCGTTGTTGAGGCCGACGTCAAGTGCGAATTTGGGCTTTGTGGAGGGTCCGTACATTACTCCAGGGGACCTTTTGTGTTTGTGGCTTGTTAGCAAAATAACTCGGATATATTTAAATAGATGTTCATGATTTTGGTAGGCAAGCTACCATTGTACAGGCCAAGGTCAAGTTCGAAAACGGGCCTCGTAGGGGGTCCCTAAGTTGAATTTTCAACGCAAGGATATTGGACTTTCTACACCAGTAGAATACCAGTCTCTGTCGAAGAATGGGCAATCCACCTCTTCCATGACGTCACGTTATGCGTAGATGACACACGTGACTCGGTAAGCAGTGGATCGTAAGTTGCAGAAAGTCTGTGCCGTCCCCGTCTTTGTTGAGGGAAGTACCCGGATGTAGATAGAGTCTTAAATACCTCGAAAAGTATGTGTTGGTGCCACAATGCTATTGTCAAGTGTTGTGGTACGGTGTAAGCACAAACAAATTGTATTGTATGCACAAAACCATATCAAGCCCTTTAAATAGATGCTAGTATTGTTAGTGATGTCTACTTTCCCAGCGGAGGGTTAGGTTTTGGCTTATTTGTGACGTGTTTTTAGGCGTTTTTATCGGGCTGTTTGTTTTGTACTAATGTATTGGATACTGCCCTGCCATTTTGAAATTGTTTTGCCATTTTGATACTGCTCTGTCATTTTGATACTGCCCTGCCATTTTGATACTGCCCTGCCATTTGGATACTGCCCTGCCATTTGGATACTGCCCTGCCATTTTGATACTGCCTTGCCATTTTAATACTGCCCTGGCATTTTGAAACTGCCCTGGCATTTTGATACTGCCTTGTCATTTTGATACTGCCCTGCCATTTTGATACTGCCCTGCCATTTTGATACTGTCCTGCCATTTTGATACTGCCTTGCCATTTTAATACTGCCCTGGCATTTTGATACTGCCCTGGCATTTTGATACTGCCCTGTCATTTGGATACTGCCTTGCCATTTTGATACTGCCTTGCCATTTTGATACTGTCCTGCCATTTTGATACTGCCTTGCCATTTTGATACTGCCTTGCCATTTTGATACTGCCTTGCCATTTTGATGCTGCCTTGCCATTTTGATGCTGCCTTGCCATTTTGATGCTGCCTTGCCAATTTGATACTGTCCTGCCAATTGGATAATGTATTATAGCCACTGCTTGGGGATGTAAGATATGCCACTTTTTATATAGAATTACTTACGATGTGCCACGTACTGTCTTCTGTTGATAATTTTAGGTACAATGTCACAGCCTTGGGCACGCTGGTCATAAATAACGTGCAGGACTCAGACAGAGGGGCGTACACGTTCAAGATCACTAACCAGTACGGACAGGTCTCCGACACGGGTCTGCTGAAGGTTGTGGGTGAGTAAGAATTCCAAAATTCTTGTAATGATTTAAGAACCATAAATGACATAAATAAACTACAAACCAGTCTTTTAATGTACAAGATAATAAATAAATGTCCTTGCCTCCCTGAAACCTTCCACGACACCTACACCTTCTTATTAAACTCAGATATCCACAACCACTTCACACGCCAATGCAATTATTTAAGGCCATCCAATGCGAAATCGAATCTTCGTCAATTACAATCACGTACAGGGGCCCAACAATTTGGAACAACCTAAGTAGAACTTTACAAATTAGTCCCTCCGTCACCATTTTCAAAAATCATACTAAAGTAACTTTCATAAATAACCCCACACATTCTTAATTTTTGTTTAAGTTTCCTTGTTTACTACTTTTCATCACTACTTTTCATTATTGTAGATAGTATTGTATCGTATTGTATTTTATTGTTTTGTTTCATTTACCCGTTACCTATGTTATTTCTTATTCATCCGATTTATTTGAATTGTTAATCACGTTATGAAGGGAGGCCTCCTCATAAGCATTTTTATGCTTCCGGCCTCCTGCACTGTTACATTTCATTTATATTTTCTTGTATCTGTATTGTTACATTTTGTTTTAAAGTGCGAATAAAAACTGAAACTGAAAACTGAAAAAGAAACCTCTGAAAAAACTGAACATGACAACGTGATGTGATGTACTACTTCGCACTGTTACTGTAAATATATATTTGATGATCAAGCTATTCGCATGATCGAAAAACAAGCAATTTATGCACAGATATATTGTGCTCATTATTAGATTTGTTCAACTTTTTTTGTATGTTTTTGTCTACCTTTATTCTTTTCGTTCCCGTTAACTACCCAGCCGCATATTACTGAGATCACAGTTCTAAACCGGGGCCCGGCCAGGCTGTTAGTCTTAACGAAAAATTCATATTAATGATATAACATAAATAACATTCATGATTAGTTTCTAAAACTTGTGTCTTATTGTCTTTTATATCGTATTTTTCGTTCCCGCAAACTGCCCGACCGGGCCCCGGTTTGAAATTATGTGACCTCAACATTAGCATAACTCCCCCACGTTTCCAGACCCCGCCCGGCTGTCCACCAGACGTGCCCCGGGTAACATCAGTGTGAACCTGGGAGCCAGAGGGACGGTGCGGTGTGACGGGACGGTTCCCAAGCCGCTGGAGAGAGTCTTCGTCTGGACCGTGAACGACAGGATCATCAACTTCGACGCGCAATCAGACCTGTACGGACGGGTAGGTTTTGGTTTATGTTCATGTTTATGTTTATTAGGAATCCCCATTAGTAATACAATGTTTGTTTACTAATCTTCCTGGAGTCCTTTAACATTACATTTAAAAGATGAAATATAATCAATTACAAAGTTAACTTAATAGCTACAAATACAACATGTATTTACAACAACATCCGCTTAAATAACAGTATAACAATAACAATCTTAACACAATCTACACGTATGCCTACTTGCTTATATGTACAACAATTAAGGCTAGCTTAAATTACATACTTAAAATACAGTGGAGAGGTCAGAGGTCCCTATTTACACCATGCACTACCACCATGTGTCGAGACGCATGTGGTTGTACTTGTTACTCCATACTTTAATATTTTCTTTAAATGTTCGTTCGCTTCCAGGGGTCATACCAGATGTTAGATTGTTGTATGTTGGGTTAATCACCAAGCAGATGGTGGCTGCAAAAACAGAATCAAATTGACAAGGCTGTATATATCCGTTGACCAATTTGATTCTGTTTTTGCAGCCACCAAAAGATCTGCTTGGAGGCTACGTTTTAATCTTATGACTACGCCTTGTTTGAAGGAGCTTTAAGAGCGAAAATCCCGTTTCCTGAAATCTGATGCATGTGTTTTATCCGGAACGTTTCCTATCTAATTTTATGCAGAGTTTAGTCTAACCTCCATAGCATGCCAAAAACTGGGGGTTTTGGGGGTTTTCATGGTCTTTGGGAGCTTTTATGTGCTATTTTCTGATTGCATATAGACAACATGGCTGGCCTGGTTGAATTACCCCCGTTTTTTGACTGGGCTAATCAGAAAACAGCCGAAGACCACCAAACCTAGCCTCTACCAGGCACCGCGGATCGCTGGAAAAATAGTAGAAATTGGCCGAAATAAAGGGATAGTATACCAGGGAAGATCTAGGGCCATAGAAGCTCCAATTTGCGATCGTTATAATTTCAAAACTTCGTGACCTCTGACACTTCCTGTCACATGGCCGCTCGTGTCAGGTCCGTCACGGACGAGTCGGAGAGCAATAAAAGGGTTACTTAACCACTTCCCACCTATTAGATACAACTTTGCACCTATTAGATAACGATTAGTGAACTTCAAAGAAGCTTGCGACTCCGCACAGGCTCCGTGGGTCGCAAATTGGAGCTTCTATGGCCGGCTGGATCTTCTCTGGTATACTATCCCTTTATTTCGACCAATTTCTACTATTTTTCCAGCGATCCGGTAGAGGCTAGTATTTCCACCTTTTCCTGGGCCTGCCTAATAAAGGGCGCTTGCCCATCGGTTTATATTTGAAAGCTATCTTTAGGATCCCTCCCTCCCTCTTACACCCTTTCAACATGCCCCATCTGAGGGCTACCCTTTCTATATCTTCTTCTATCGATGATATCCCAAGATTGATTTAGAAAACCACAGTATTGCTGTCTTTTCATATTGTAATTTTAATTTTAATAGAATACAGGACGAACGACATTTTGTAATAGGAACAGAGAAGTGAACTGTATAGGTTTAAATTTGTACAAAACCGATTTCCCTATTTGATACACGTAAGCAAATTCATATTCGTAATGCGACCAGACAAACCATCCACCGAAAACATATCTTTTGTAATTTCTACAGTAATTAAAAAGCAAGGAGAAGTTGAATTTATGTAACGATAGTTGGTTTCATTTTGTATCTGTTAACTGTATCCGTAACTGAGAAGTTGAATTTATGTAAAGATAGTTTTGAAATCATTTTGTTTCTGTAATTGTTTTGTTGTGACATGTACTTGGTCAAGTTTGGCAAAAATGTGCAAAAAAGGGTCGTCGTTCATTCATTCATTACAAATAACGAACATACAGATTACTACAAGGAAAAATATCTGAAAATTACACACATTGGACACAAAACAGCCATCACAAAACTCCGGATAAGTTCACACAAACTCCACATAGAAAAAGGCAGACATAACCGCATTCCTGTACAACAAGGGATTTGACAATTTTGCGATTTAGATAAAATTGAGGATGAGTGTCATTTTGTAGTTAAATGTACATTATATAGAAATGAGAGGGATTCCCTTTATACTCACATAATAGATAAGTTCCCCAGCTTTAGACACAATAGAAAAATTCGCATTCCTTATGAAACTTGACAAGCTATGTATCACTATACTGTCATCAAGAAACTGGATATAATTTTCCAAAATCATATCCAGTTGCTTGAGTAACTGCTTTTTGTATCTTACTACCTGGGTGTCTATCCTTCATCGACGCATGTAGCATTATCTCCGTATGCTCGTACATGTATAACTGTCTCAAGAAGCGAGAAGAAGTTGAACTTGTAAATAGTAGATCACATTAGTATGTATAGTTTACGTGTTATTGTTGTATTATTTCTATGTTTACTCGTGACCTGTATTTAGCTTGTTAGAGCACAAGCGTACAATGAAGGTCTTTCGTTAAAAACACGATCTCTGATCTTACAAATATAGATATTGCCTCTTCACTGACAGGCGCGGGTTGTCAGGCGGATGACACCTGTGTTGTGAAGACGCTGCAGTTCTTTGAACTCATCCGATATCTTGTGAGAGTTGGAGGGGAGGGCGTTGTCGTAGTAGTGCTCCGTCAGACGTGTGTTGTTCCTGTCGGAGTGGAAGGGCCAGAAGCCGTACAGGCGCACCTCATCACATATCTGTGTGGCGACAGTGACCAGGAGCAATCCTGGACAAATGATGAATGAAAGAAAAAAATTCTTAAAACAAAACAGACCATAAAAAACATTATCATGCCGATCATATAGGCTAAATCCTCTTAAGTGTGACTTTGGTGGTGAAACCATCTCAATACGTCTTGACACAGAGTAATACCGGTTTGGCGGTGCACTTTGGTAGCTCTGGGCCTAAATGGATAATATGAAAGAAACAAAATTACAGAATAAAGTGCACCGTGTCATTGCATCAAACAAATGATATATGCCATTGGATAAATGCATGTATGCCCATATAGCATATAGATAAAGATTCGACGAAGGTATTTTATACCTACGTACCAGTAGACGCCCTTGGAGCCTTCACACCACATGTTTGCCAGTAGGAATGCGTCGATCTGACGAAGTCAGGATGGGGATAGATGACCGTGTTCTTGGCGTGACTTTCCCATAGAACTTTTTGTGCTAAGAAGGCCCGCCTTGAGCTCAGCTCATACAGGAAGGCTTCTATGAACAGGTAGCTGTCCCCGTAGGCAGAGAGGTCCCGAAGGAATTTGTCTCTCGCCCCTTTGAAAGCCTTAGACGATCTATGTTCTAATATGATCCTATTTAGCTGTTTAGATTTTCC